CCGGGGGTAGGCAGGAAAAGCCACATTTCTCCCAGATTTACGGTATTTACAATGGAATCAAGGCCGAAAGGTTGCAATATCCATAATACAGAGCCTAAGGGTTAACAACTAATGGCTTCTAAATACTAAAACAAACTAGAAGTAGTAGTAGTGTTGGTGGTAGTGGTGGTAGTAGTAGTAGTAGCAGTAGAAGAAGACTTGAGATATATAGTGCATATTGCATTTCTTATGTAAACTTTATATTAATTAGGCCTACACATAAATTAATCATCTTTTTTTTTTTTAGTTTTAAATACTATTTATTATTTTATATTTAGTATTATTTTATTACCCAGTTCATTCGCAGTTGTAGACCAGATTCCTGATTTATACAGGAATTCTTTCTTTTTAAAATAACCACCCAAATATCCCCCCCCCCCCCAGCCTGCCAACCAATGAAACGCCGTTTAACTAATACATTTGTCCAATAAGCATCGAGCTTTCAACAACCCCGGCGATTCAAAAGTATTTCTGTTTACAAGGGAAAATGGAGGAGGTTTGTGGTCATGTGTGATTTTTTGTAAATGTTGAAATTATTTATTAAATAAGTACATTTTCTTTGTATGCAACCTGTAGCCAAAATACACCGATCAGGTTTAATTTTGCAGTATGTTTTGCATTGTTTGGAAGGGTTACATTTTATACAGTTATCATGCATTATCTGTCAATTCTGTCTGTCTCAGGCCTCAGGGTCTTCTATTTGAACAATTTCTCATTATATTAATTATTCGAGATTCTGAGATTCTCTGTTCTGACGGCTGCCCGTGTGACCTACTGCGGAAAACCGTTACCGTCCACACATTATTATTCATAGACGTTGTCTTCTTCTGTCTAGTAAAAAAAAAAGGGGGGGGGGGGGAGGGGAGAATTTCTCAACTTGTTTGTTCACTTACTGCGTTAATTTTTATTTCGCCAGTGGTGCAGCTTTTTGCTGTGGTAATTCATAATTCGGTTAAAACATTCTTATTATGATTATGTTTCAGGTTTAAATTAAAATGTATACGAAATTATTTTAACGAAAACGGTGTTCATGAGTTCATTAATACTATTAATGAACTCATGAACACCGTTTTCGTTAAAATAATAGTGAGTACATATGAATAAAACTAATAATAGTTTTTGTAATTTAAATTGGTGTTTGTTTACTATCTCGTAATAATTTTGAGTGGCTATCCTCCGAATAACGGCCACATATTATGGCTACCAAAAACACTCCCTGACAGGGCCTCATTAGGATTAGGTCGTGTGTTGTAAACATTCAAAAACTTAAACTCGAAAATAATGAGGAACTAAAAAAAAGGGAAAATGACGAAATTGACTACTTGATAATTGAGGCCTTTATATCTGAAAATAGTGGCACAGAAGTTGCAAAAAAATAGTGCCCCAAAATCGGCTGTCCTCCGAATAACGGTCCTAAATTATAGAGGCCGAAAATATACCCTACAGGGCCTCAGTCGCATGTCAGTTGCCGACTTCTGGGGACTATACCGCCACCGCCAAATTGCTGACTTCCGGGGACTATATTGCTGCCGAGAGTATCTCCCACGCTGGTAGCTGCTCGCGTGAGTCCCAGCCATCTAGTTTAACCCTAATTCGTGCCGCGCATAGCATGGGTGATACTCTCGGCGATGGCGGAAGTTGCAGGAAGTCCGCAATTGACATGTGACCGAGGCCCTGTTAGGGTATATTTTCAACCTCTATAATTTATAACCGTTATTTGGATAGCCCGAAAATCTGCTCTTTGTGGCTGTGGCACCATTGAAACTCGGCTAAATATGATCGGTGCCGCAGTGGTAACGTAGTTTTCACTGCCGAGAGTATCTCGCGCGGATAGGGGGCTAAACTAGATGGCTGGGACTCACAAGCAAATAAATTTGAGGAAGTTTCAGGAGATGCGGTAGCTGCTGCTCGTGAGTCCCAGCCATCTAGTATAGCCCCCTATCCGCGGTGCAGGGAATATGCTCCATGGTGAGTTTAATCGGTAGAACTCTAACGCTAACCTGCGTGGGATCTCCCCGCCATGTCGCTATTATCGTGTGTATTGTTGCATTTCTCAAAATTTTCAACAGACAGTATTCCTAGTTTTGCCGCGGTGTGTTCTTTGATGGAAGTGCGCAATTTACATGTGATTGAGGCCCTGTCAGGGTGTGTTTTTGGCCGCCTATAATATGTGGTCGTTTCTGGAGGGTAGTCATCTTAGTCGGGTTTTTACCTTTTGTATGTGGAACGCAGCAGTTTGCAGTGCTGGCATATTTTTTAAAATTCTGTAGACTTTAGCATCATGTTTTCAGTGCTTCTTGNTATTATGATTATGTTTCAGGTTTAAATTAAAATGTATACGAAATTATTTTAACGAAAACGGTGTTCATGAGTTCATTAATAGTGAGTACATATGAATAAAACTAATAATAGTAATTTAAATTGGTGTTTGTTTACTATCTCGTAATAATTTTGAGTGGCTATCCTCCGAATAACGGCCACATATTATGGCTACCAAAAACACACCCTGACAGGGCCTCATTAGGATTAGGTCGTGTGTTGTAAACATTCAAAAACTTAAACTCGAAAATAATGAGGAACTAAAAAAAAAAGGGAAAATGACGAAATTGACTACTTGATAATTGAGGCCTTTATATCTGAAAATAGTGGCACAGAAGTTGCAAAAAAATAGTGCCCCAAAATCGGCTGTCCTCCGAATAACGGTCCTAAATTATAGAGGCCGAAAATATACCCTACAGGGCCTCAGTCCCATGTCAGTTGCCGACTTCTGGGGACTATACCGCCACCGCCAAATTGCTGACTTCCGGGGACTATATTGCTGCCGAGAGTATCTCCCACGCTGGTAGCTGCTCGCGTGAGTCCCAGCCATCTAGTTTAACCCTAATTCGTGCCGCGCATAGCATGGGTGATACTCTCGGCGATGGCGGAAGTTGCAGGAAGTCCGCAATTGACATGTGACCGAGGCCCTGTTAGGGTATATTTTCAACCTCTATAATTTATAACCGTTATTTGGATAGCCCGAAAATCTGCTCTTTGTGGCTGTGGCACCATTGAAACTCGGCTAAATATGATCGGTGCCGCAGTGGTAACATAGTTTCCACTGCTGAGAGTATCTCGCGCGGATAGGGGGCTAAACTAGATGGCTGGGACTCACGAGCAAATAAATTTGAGGAAGTTTCAGGAGATGCGGTAGCTGCTGCTCGTGAGTCCCAGCCATCTAGTATAGCCCCCTATCCGCGGTGCAGGGAATATGCTCCATGGTGAGTTTAATCGGTAGAACTCTAACGCTAACCTGCGTGGGATCTCCCCGCCATGTTGCTATTATCGTGTGTATTGTTGCATTTCTCAAAATTTTCAACAGACAGTAATCCTAGTTTTGCCGCGGTGTGTTCTTTGATGGAAGTGCCCAATTTACATGTGATTGAGGCCCTGTCAGGGTGTGTTTTTGGCCGCCATAATATGTGGTCGTTTTCTGGAGGGTAGTCATCTTAGTCGGGTTTTTACCTTTTGTATGTGGAACGCAGCAGTTTGCAGTGCTGGCATATTTTTTAAAATTCTGTAGACTTTAGGCATCATGTTTTCAGTGCTTCTCTGTTAGTGATGAGTATCGGTACCTTTTGTTTTAGACGCACTGGTGTATTGCACCATGAGTTGTTTTCTGGGGGGAAAACCTGGTAAAGATAAACTTTGTGTTAAAACATACAAACATACCATTTCTTCCCATCAGTCAGTGCCTGGCAATAATATAAATAGTAGAAGGGCCTTTTCTTCTTTAGAAACTAAAAAGGTGCTGATACTTACACCATATTGTTTTCAGAAAAGACGCCTATACTCATTATGAATTACAAATTGTTTTTTTTCAAAAGGCACTGGTCCCCTCCCCAAAAAAGGCTTGTTTTGTGCACTGTTGACTCTTGTTGTGCACACATTGAGGAGCACTGGCGACAGTGGTGATTCCTGGGGCAGACCCATTAGGACGCATTGATGTTTCAGTGCCCATGCACCACATTGCAGCGACACTGTTCATTCTAATAGCACTGCTATGATCCAGTCGACCCATTTTGTTTCCAAATGCACATGCAACCGCAATCTAATGAACATGTTGTATGGGACTCTGTTGAACCGCATCTTCTAAATCAAAAGCAGCTGCAGCTGTTTCCATTCCCTCATGGAAACCCTCATATGTTGTAGGCATATACTGCAGCATTGCACCATGTATCTCTCCCTGCCCTGGTCGGTAACTACCTAGTATAGTGGGGAATAGAACACCTGACTGCAGTGTTTGGATCAATGTTCTAGCCACAATTTTTTTCCTAGAGTTCTGGAGTGTGATAATTCTGTAGCCATTTATTCTGGCATGGTCTTTCCCTGGCTTAGGAAGGGGATCTGAGGTATCTATAGAACTGGTCATTAGGGATAATGCTGGTTTTCATTGAACTGTTCAGTGTTTGGATATCCCCATGTGGGTTCCTGGGCAATTTTGTGAGAAACGAAGAATAGACGCATTACCTCCCAACAGGCATGTCAACTAGGAGTCAACTAATTAGGGGCTTCTTTCGAAGTCAGGGTGCATCCGCCCGAGCGGCAAGAAACAACCAACTGCACACAAATGTCAGTAAAAGGGATGTAAATGCAAAACTCGGGCCCTGGCACAAAGTCCAATTGGACGAGCAACCAAGACTTTTCGTCGTGGCTTACAGTTGGTGAACATAGAAGAATATCCTGGATAGCTCATCCATAACTGTTACCTCAAGGCTTTTGAAGTCACTGAATCTAATGCTGTCAGGCCCTGCAACTGTGTCAGGACAGGGCTTCGCTGTTGCTCTGATGCATTCAGTCCAGATGTAATTGACGCTTACAGAGGGTATATAGATTATTTTTTTACAAACTGAAAAAAATATTGTTATATTAATTTAATGTATTTTAATATAATTATGTGTTTGTATCTTGGCCACCCTCAGAGGAAACCATTAGCACCCCAAGGTAATGTTAGCCGATTACCAGTGCCAGGATCACGGATGATGAAGAGGGCACGCAGTCCAGATGATAATGAGGTTAGTAGTTTCTTGTCACTTCTTGTTTCTAGACAGAAATAAACATGTGCAGCCTTGAGGTTGTACATACAGTACCTTAAACAAATTGATGTGTATAGACTGGCACTCATAATGCAGGCCATAACAAAATCTTTTCATGCCCCTTGCCTTGTTTGCCTGTCAACCATAGAAAGAAGTAAAGAAATAGGAGGATACAGTAGACAACATAAATATTGAAAGCTGTTTCCGTTCCCTACTGGGAATTGAACCGGTCACCTCCAAATGACAACTTCTTATGCATTTGCCCCCACAGGTGTTAAGCATATTGTTTTATGGTTTACAGTCAGACTGTTTGTGTCTTCTGTTGAACATATTAAAATTAAGCAGACCCCTTATTGACCAACTTTTGTGACAGAGTTTATTCTTTCCCTAAAATTGAGAAACCCTCTTGGGTTGAGCGGGTGTTTTGGAGAGGGTGGCTGGGGTAACTCCCATTGCTGAAACTGAAGACAGTAGCGATCTGCGTGACTTAAGGCAGCCAGGTGCAACAAAGTCAATCCTCTTAAGTAACACCTTTGGATTGATACATAGATGGATTATTGCATGGATCATCTTCATTCAGTTGAGATTTTATAAGCCACACATGGTTCGCAGACTTTTCTTCCATTCTGTTCCGTCCTGTGCAATTTTTCAGTATCATGGATGGAGTCCAGACAAGTACCTTGGGCCTCTCTCGTCGGTGTTTATTTTATGATTTCTTTTGTTCATCTCATTTTCTCAATCCATTTGTTTCTTTTTAGTGCCTTTTTGGAGATTCTGTGTCCACTTCTTCTCAGGATGTGGCTAATAAATCTTTATTTTTAAAGTCTTATAACCTTTGACACAAGCAGTTGTCCAGTCTTGAATTAATCCTATTGAATGTTTAACAGTTTCTTTAAGAATTTGTTTCCGAATGCTTGTAATTTTCTTTCCTTCTTTTGAGTGCTTTTCCAACTTTCTCTGAGTGTGTTAGAAATGAAATAACATTAGACTTGAAAATGTGTAACTTTATAAGGTTTGTAACTGCTTTACTGTGTGGTTAAACGGGGCTTCCAGGATTTGTACCTGTGTGATTCTCTTCCTTGTGATGATAATCCTACAGAATGTGATCCTGAAGAGGAAAAATTACAATGGATACCTCAGCCAATGAGTAATTCACTTAGAAAGACATTTTGTGCTGTTTTTGGCTTTGGCTAATACATTTGTGTTTGGATAACGAATGCTTTAGTAAATGTGCACGGAAAGATGACACGGCTGAGCTGTGAGCTGAATTTTCTGTGGAAAAACCTACAGGAAATCATGGTTCCACTAAAAAAAAAAAACAATTTGCAGTTAGCGAATGTTATTCTTGAAAGAATCATCTTGGTTTATCAAGTTATCACTGTAGACGATAGGTGGATAGATCATTGTATGGACAGTTTATCTTACATGTATAGGCAAGAGTTGGCCTTGATAATATTAGGTGCCCTTGTGATTCCAGGGACCTGTTTTTTTTTTTTTGGGGGGGGGGGGAGGTGGACAGAGGGAGGGTGGACCCAATGCCCCCCCCCCCCTTCCATTTTCTTTTGTGTTTGTTATATTATGAAGCTTGGTGGTCTACTTTTTGTTCGGTTTTTATCTCTCTCAAATAAGCATGTTGTAAAGGTCAATTATTCAGGGGTGTTTTCTTCAAAGTCAGAATGCATCTGTCTGAGAGTGAAGAACCATCAGTCTGCATACACATAAGCAAGATCTGTAAAGCAGATGTGCACCCAAACCTCAAGTTCTGAAAGAAGATTAAAGTCTAAAGGTGGACAAACAATGAGAATTTTCCGTAAAAGTTTACACCCAGTGAACGTGGTGATAATATTAGGTATGGTTCCAGGGCCTCTTTGGACTCCCCTTGCACTTCTGTAAGGGCAATCACAAGAGATACTAGGAAGAATTGGTGCTTAATGTTGCATGTTGTCTTATAATTTCATAGGTGCAAGTGTCTGGAAAGAAAAGCCGTATGGACAGCAATGATAACAATTTGGATGCTGGTCACATGTCGACACGGTCATTATCATCATCATCTATAGCAAAAGCATCTGTAAATAAAACAGCAGCAAACAGCAGGTTGAAAAGGGCGGAGTCGTCGTTAAACTTATCCAAGAGGCAAGCAGCTGGAAACACAACAAATAGAATCATCAACACGGTTATTGCTCCACGGAACCCCAAACAACAGTCCAGAGTCTTGTCAAGTACTGTGGCTAAACCCAGTAAGTATCAGTTATCTTCATAGATTCGTGTACACTGTATTTCATGAATTATGGATAAAACTAAGAACTGATGAAAGATGGGTAGTGTTATTTCACTTTTTGAGATGAGGCACCTGGATAAAACTACTTCATACACTTTAGTTCTGGGCTATTCTTCTTCTTCTTCTTTACATTCGCCAGCTCAGCAGCAGAAAGTTCTGTTTGTTCATCCACTTCTGGACTGTAGTTCTTCTTCTTCTTCACATTCACCAGCTGTACACTCTGGTGGAAAGTTTTGGTTGCTCGTCCACTACTGAACTGTAGTTCTGATCCAGAACCTGAGTTCTGCATGTACATCCGTTTTACGGATCTGACTCAGTTGTTTACAGAGTTGGTTCCTTGCCTCTCAGGCAGATGCACTTCAGCTTCAAAGGAAGATCCTAGTTAGTCGACTTTCACAACATGCTTTTGGATAGAAAGTGGGTGTGTTCTTGTTTTCTTCCCAATAGGGCCCTGGAACCCACACGGGGAAGGGCTGTTGAGCTAGGTTTACTCGGGGGCCAACATTTTTAAGGGAAAAAAAAATGGATCGTGACGGGCTAGAGACCCGAGCCTCCTTATAAAAAGATCATTAATACAATACAGCTGGCAATCCGTGGGCCACTTGCTTGGCCTATGTGGAATAGCTATGTTTTAGTTAAACCTATAGTTTTCACACTTGTCTAAGTAGATGTCCAAAATGTTGTGCTATAAGTTCATTCTCATGAATGGATTGCACATTTGCCTGTCCATGGTCGTGTTTAGGAATTCCCCTGGAAGCAGGCTTTTTAAAAACCCAGTATAAAATTAGATTCGCAAAAATTTTCTGAGAAATAAAGGCGGTTGATGTGATATTGACATCGCTCACAGTTCGATCAATTACTTTGTTCCCTCTCTGGGCTGCTACCTAAAGGTTTACCATCAGGGTTCGTAATGGACCTTGAAACCTAGAAAATTTCAGGAACTGCAAGATCCCTCTCAGGGCTTTGAAAAAAACTTGGGATTTGGCTACTTACCTTGTACCATACTATCCTGAGATTTACAAATTCCTCAGTTGGGGTTGCATACCACGGAGGCAGATTCTAGATACCCTATTTAGCCTCTAAAGAGAAGTAATTTTGGCTTGGTCTTGGCATAGTCGTTTTACTAAAAAAAAAATGCTAGGGGGCATGCTTTGTTTAGAAAAAAAAGTCAAAGACACATCTCCCCCCCCCCCCCCCCCCCCCCACCCAAGAGGGTGAGGTTTTGGTTATAATTGTGACTAAGTTTATGTGCACCACATAAAATGGCTTAGCATTGCATGCCACCAAGTAGCCCTTAAAAAGGATTTTTGCAATGTTGATGCTATCAAGAGGGACAGACCCAAATACTGTCCCGACCGATGACGAAGCCATCTACCGGCCAGCCAATGGGTGATCTGGTCGCCTATGAACTAGGTGACTAGACAAAGAGAAGTCTTAATAAATCTGTGTCCTACAAGTAAGGACTTTAGGGGGCAGAGAGTCGCTGAGGTCAGTAGACCATAGATGAGCATGATCAGACAGTATAGTCTTCGGATGACTGACCTAATGAATGACTGTTTAGAGATGCGGCTGAAATGAAGATCTGATAAATAAATCCAAAAATTGTCATAATGGCAGTGTAGGTTGACTGTCAGGGGATCTTTTACTAACTGCAGGAATATTTACATGGTAAGGACCTAATCTTTTCCATGGTGCAACTCTCTTACTACTGTCTGAAAACACTTGAGAACAGTTATTTTCTAAACTGCCAGCTGCTGGAAAAGAACCCTGGTCTTCTTTGCGTTCACTGGCTATAAACTCTGGTGGAAAGTTCTGGCTGTGTGTCTTATTCCAGAACTTGAGTGTTGTGCACATCCTGTTTCACAGATCTGATTTAATTACATGCAGATTGTTGGTTCCTTGCCTCTCAGGCAGATGCAATCTGACTTCAAAAGAAGCCCCCAGTTAGTCAACTCTTACTACGTGCTTGTGAGGAGCGGTGGGTCAATTCATGAGTCAGTGACGGGCCGTGGCTGGCGTCATCGGGTCGGGCTTCTTGCTTTAACACAGTGGTTCTCAAACCTCGACAGTGGCGGGAAAGACTATTTAAATTTTAACGTATTTACGTGCCTTCTTCAATAATTTCACAATTTTTAGCCACTTGATTATTGCCGGATTCCCCTGATATACGCCCTGGCACCCACTTTGAGAATAAACGCATCGTTGCACCTAGTGACGTCAGCAACGGTTTCAGCTAGCCCTATTCTTGTCAATGGGGCCGCGGTCTACACGGGGAGAGCCGTCAACATGAATTGCATCGTGTCCACTAGCCTGTAAGTCACAGAGCCGCCATGAATGTCGTGTCCATGTTTAAGTGATGATAAAGGTTTGGTGACTATTTTCAGAACCCTCTGGAGCTTTAGCTGCAAAAACTACATCTCTAAATAACAGTGCTCTGAACTCAACGGTTACAAGCACAGGTAAGATATAATCTTAAAGCAGATTTAAATTTAATTATTATACTGCTGGCACCTTTGTCTTTTCAGATGATGGTAGAAAAACTGCCATTTCTGTTTGTATTGACCACTTTTGTTGTCTAGCAGGTGGGTCTCTGAGTCTGAAGATTTAGGGCCACGCCAGCTTAGATTGTAGTTTTGCCCCTGGCATTTAAAAAAAATCCACAGCCTTACAGAAAACTTAAACCTGGGTCTCCCCATGAAAGCCTAGCACTCTTGACCGTTCAGTCAGCCGCTGCAGCTTCCTTGATGTTATAATATTGTGTAATATTACGGCATATGAATCACAGCTTATGGCGATGGTGAGTCTGACTAGTGACACTACTTGAGTTAAGGAGTCACTAACAATAGATGTGGCATTTCAGGACCATTGATGCCATTTTATGTTTTTGTTCTTGTGAAACACTCAGCTCTAAACATGTCTGCATTATTTTCTCCTTTGTTTTTATTCCCCTCCTGATCGTGCCCTCCCAGTCAACAATTATTGCATCTCAGTACTTAAATCATTCATAACTGCTGTGACCTGGTAGGAGTAAAGCTGCCTCAGACTCCTAATTGAAATAATGTTCAACATCTGCTGATTTGGTTACAAAGATTGCCTTTAGTTGCTAGGAAAATTCTTGTGTGCCCACAACTTGATCAGGGGCCTGAATGTTCCGGCAAATTCAAGAGCTGTGCTGATGGTAGAGCTAGAGGCTAAAGAAAGAAGACCCTTGGAAGGGGGGGGGGGTAACTAAGCGCCCCTTGCAGTAGTTGGTCAATGAGATGATTGGGTTGCAAGTTGGTCAGGCATATTTTAACCCACTCTGTCCAGAACTTCCTTAATGTTAAACCTGAGTTACTTCTTCTATAAATCCATATTACATTGACATATTTGTTTGTTCAAGGTGTCTCCAAAAAACGGCCAGCATGGGACCTCAAGGGGCGGATCCAGGATATGGAAGCTCATCTGCAGCAGCAAGTAAAGGATAAAACTAGTTTACAGGTAACTTGTTTTTGTTAGATATGCTGTTGTCATCATTTTTCGGCCATGTTATGAGAAGATGGACAATAGAACATGTTGTGACCACTGGAAAGATCTGTGGAAGGAGGGATAGAGGAAGACAACGAGAGAAGATGCTTGAGGGTCTTGTTGCATGGCATGGAGGAGTGTCAGCACACGAGCTGATACATGCTGCAGGAGATCGCAGATTATGGAGAGGCATGATCGCCCATGCCATTCGGCATGATGATGTTGCTTATTGCTGCATATTTAAAACCAGACTCATGCAGTTTAAATGAGACATTTAGGGTTTTTTTTCTTTCTTGCACTTAGATTATGTCAGTGGCTGTTTTCTTTCCCTGTCAACTTCTTTTCAGTATTAGATACTTTTTTGCTACAGACTGATTTTAATTTGTATCTTCAGTAACATTTCTGTAGATTTTTTGAGTAATTCGCATCAAGCTTTATACAGTGCTGCTTTTTTTTTTTTTTTTTATCGATCACCGGCTGTGAATTCCAGCGGAAGGTCCCGGTTAATCGTCCGTTTGGACTTTTGGCTTTCACCTGGACCTGATTTTTGCGTGTACAACCGTTTTACTGTTCCCTGCCTCATGGGCAGCTGTACTCTGACTTCGAAGGAAGACGTCAGGCCTATTTCTAGGGTGACTGGCCATTGTTTTGTGTGGGCGGAGACGTTGCCTGATTTGTGTGGTGTCCACATTGTCTCCTTCTCCGCAGGTATTGCTCCCTGAGTACCCCTTTGGGACAACCCCTTGTGGAACGGTTAGCCCTCAAGGGAAGGTAGGGGCAGATCATGGGCATTCCCCGCCATCCAATGAGGCTTCCATGTATGCAGAGCCGGCACATGGCGCTCTGGTTCTGGGCTCACCCAAGGAATCGTCACGTCCTGCACATGCCTGCTTAACCTCACAACCGTATCAGGCCTCCTGCTCGACAAGGGCTGCGCCCTCTGGAAGTCAGCGGGGAGCAGCCTGTGGGTTTTGGACCTTTGTGACCACACGAATAGGTACATTCTTTTTTTCTTCGCACGTTAGATTTTTTTGATGAGCCGTTAGCCCGACAGAATTTTACATCCTGCGTCAGGCATATCGTTATCAGTTTGGTCCCAACACTCGGGCGAGTGGGCTCTTTGGGTGTGGACATTTGGTCATTTTCCGTTCAATACAAATTGTGATGGTCAGATTTTGAGCTTGCTCGTGCGCCGTAGGACAGTGCTGCTGATATCTGCTCTGTCAGTCCATGCTTCTTCATATGCATTGCTTGCCAGTTGGTCTGCTAGCTCATAAAACTATATGTCAGCATGACCAGGTGCATAGATCCAGATGGGGGGGGGGGGGGGGGGGGGGTTCAAGTGCATTTTTATGTTTTCTACCCATTCAGAGCTCATACTACCTGTTACTGTTTTCTGAAGCATGTTTATTGAGTCTGACACAATTACTGCGTGTTGCTGTTTGTACTGCTGCCCACACTAGTGCTTGGCTGTCTTCATGGTCATGCTTGACACAGCTGCCTGGTAAATGCTGCTATCTTCTTGTAGTTTTCCCCATCCTTAGTGCTGTGTATGTCCATGCTGATCTTGATCCGAGCTTCATGGACCCATCTGTATAGACTATGATGCCTTCTCTGTATGAATGCTGATCTGTCAGTTGCCTTATCTCTCTGTTTACAGCTGTAGGAATCTGATTCCTACAGTATATCCTCAGACCAACCACATTTTGATAACTTTAATAACATTTCTGTAGATTTCTTAAATAACTCACTTCTGTTAGTTTCTGCTCCAACCTCATTCTGATAAATGCAACTCCTTCTCTAAGCTTGGTCAGTGGGAATGCCGATAGATAAAAGATTTTCAGAAATAAAACTTATAAATGTGCAATTAAAGCTTTGCAAATATTTACGCCTAAAAGTACAAGCATTGGTATGAACCTGTTGGCCCCAACATGCCTCTAATCAGGCAAAACTGTCTGTTATAAATCACAGAGAAGTACCTAAACCAACACTGGCCAGTCCCTAAAAAACTTTTTTTTTAAAGCCATGATGATTTCATAATTTTTTTCTTGTCTTTAGTAATGAAGATTGTTTGTTTGTTTGTTTTAGTATCTAGAAGCCATGAGTTGTTAACCCTTAGGCTCGGTATTATGGATATCGCAACCTTTTGGCCTTGATTCCATTTTAAATACCGTAAATCTGGGAGAAATGTGGCTTTTCTGCCCACCCCCGGGAGTGAACCCGGACCACAAGGAGTTCGTCACCCGCTCACCGCGCAATCCGGTTTAGCCAACTACGCTAGAGAGAGGGGCTAGTAATGAAGATATGAGCCACATACATTTGTTTTTATATCAGAGAAAAGGTGTATATATATATATATATATTTTTTTTTTTATTAAAAAAAATGTAAGGGTAGTCAGCATATGGATTGGAGAATTAAACATTCTCAGATCCATATGTTGACCGCTCCCCTTCATTTTGTTTTTGTAAATAAAATAAAAAAATTCAAAATATGTATTGGTGACCTATGTTTTTTTTTAAGGGTTAAACTTTCTCTTTCAGCTGAAGGTACATATTCTGTACGGTAACTCACTCCCAAAAAAAAAAAATGATTACCCGTAGATTACTGAAAAGCTGCTTTTGATTGAATTCATTCTCCAGAGCGAATTCTCCAAATACAACGAGCGCATTGGTCAGCTAGAGTCGCTGAATAAACAACTGAGCGGAAATGTGGTTGAAAAGGAGCTGGCCAGTGAATCAGCAATGAAGGAAATTGAGAACTTGAAAGCAATTCTTAGGTATGGGTTTATTTCATGTTTACTTGGTTTTGATTCTCGTGTATTCTATTTAATTTATCTTTTTTTTTTCTTTTCCAAATTTCTTGCCAAATATTGTATTCAAATTGAAACAACAAATGAAATGCTCACAAATCCTAAATGTGACTAGAAGAGGCAGGATCAAAACTGATATCAGGAAACCAGTTGGGATGGATCCAGTGTTCAACTGTATCAAGAGATAACAGATTAAATAGTTTGAACATGTATCAACACCTACGAAACTGTTGAACACCATCTCTTTGAGTGCCCAAAACTCAGCAAGACTAGAAAAATGCTACTCCCTTCGAGACCAGACAAGTGGGACACCTTGTACAGAAGGAATGAACAGCTTGTGAAAACATGCAAATTCCACTACATGGCATTGGGCCAGAGGTCAAAAGCTCATGCGCCGCTGGATCTATAACAACTGCCGCATGTATCAGTACTATAAGATAGCACAACACAAAAAGTCATATCATTTAGACACAACAGAAGTCACCTAGAGGTCACCTCGCAGGACATGGATAGATGGAATACCAAGGCTGTGAATTCCAACATCCTCTTAGCGCACACTAGGTTTCACGCCAGATATCTCTTCAAAATGAAAAATATAATACTGAAGGGTAGACCCCCTTCCACGAGCATATTGCAAAAATGTATTGATTGGGGGTTTTCCTTGAAACTCAGTCTGCCTGAGAGGCAAGGAACCAACAGTTTACTCACAAATAAGCAAGATGTGTAAAACGGATGTGCATGTAAAACCTATGTTGTGGAACAGGACTAAAGTCTAGAAAGTGGGTGAACAACCAGAAGTTTCTGCCAGAGTTTATAGCCCATGGATGTGAAGAAGAAGGGCAGAGCAAAGGTCTACAGAGCAGGAGAAGAAAGCCAAAGGTTTTTTTTTTTTTTTTTTTTGCTTAGGTTCTTCCATTATACTTTGCTAGAAGAGTGTACTATCATTCAAAATACCACTAACTGAAATAGACAACAGCAATTGGACTTATGGAACAATTGCCATAAAATTTACTTAGTTACTTACTCAGTGATGCCTTGTCTGTCCTAAAGACACTAAGAAAACAGTCCTTGTACAAACAGTGACTCTCTATTACTAAGTGCAGTCCACAACTTAATAGCTTTCCACTCCACCAGTAGATTCCCAATCACACTGACTTCGTGGGAAATGGGGTCTACAAAATATGTTACAGCATATGTCACAAAACAGGAAAAAGGCAGTCCTTGCACAATTTATGTTGGGGGGAGGGGGGTCAAAATTCATAACATGGAAATGTACAGGTCTCTTTGTTCATGTAGGATAAGCCTGTGTCTGCATTTCTTTCCTGCATGAACTGCAGTCTTCACTGATTCCTGTACTTCTCCATCTGCAGCCCGGTCATCCATTGGCTTACCGGTAGATGCCTTTGTTGCCAGTTGTGACTGTATTTTGATCTGTCTCCTTTGATCGCATCAGCACTCCAAGAGTTCTTTACAGGGCTATTTGGTGACTATCAATGCTAAGTCATTTTATGTGGTGTATATAACCTAGTCACAATTATAACCTAAGGATCTCCTTCAGGGATGCTGGTTGAATGGATGATGTTTTATTTGTTCACAAGCCCAGCCAAGTAGACTTCTCTGGTAACTCTTCAGAGGTGTTTCATCTAGAATACCATTCTCATATGTTATGGGAACATTGTTAGAAGTGTTTTTCATGTTCACTGGCTGAAAACTGCTTTCCACAAATGGACTTTTAATAGTTTTATCCCAGAACTTGAGTTTTGCGTGCTCATCCATTTTACAGACCTGGCTTATTTGTGTGCAGACTGTTGATCTCTAGCCTCACACACAGATGCACTCTGACTTTTAATTAGTTAACTTTTACAACATGCTAAGTTTGTGAGAAGTGGGTCTATTCTTATTTCCTCCTACAATGGGGTCCCAGAACACACATATCGGTCCAGTATTCTGCAGTCTTAGGTCTTTGCTCACAAGTTACAGATGCTGGTACTTTGTTTTCCCCCCACAATATAGGCAAACAGAGCAGGAACTGGACACAAAGAAGAAGAAATTTCAGCAAGAAATTGATGACCTTGAGTTCCTGAAATCAACTCTAGACCGGCAGAAGTCAGCACTTGAGGGAGAACTGAATGCCTCTGTAAAAGAAGTGTCTGTTCTCAGAATGTCAATTGCAGAGCTCATGGCTTCACAGGCTACCCTACAGAGTGATCTGGAGAACACTAAGGTATTTTGATTGACTGATTCACTAGAATGGATTTCTGTCAGGACATGAGAGGCAGTGTGTCTGTCAGGACATGAGAAGCAGTGTGATGTGGAAAACACTGAGGTATTTTGATTGACTGATTCACTAGAACTGATGTCTGTCAGGGCATGACAAGCAGTGTGATGTGGAAAACACTGAGGTATTTTGATTGACTGATTCACTAGAATTGATGTCTGTCAGGACATGAGAAGCAGTGTGATGTGGAAAACGTTGAGGTATTTTGATTGACTGATTCACTAGAACTGATGTCTGTCAGGGCATGACAAGCAGTGTGATGTGGAAAACGTATTTTGAGGTATTTTTGATTGACTGATTCACTATAATGGATTTCTGTCAGGACATGAGGCAGTGTGATGTGTGCAGACAGCTTCTTGAACCTCTTGTTGTTGTCATTACAGTTTTTCTATTTTAAAAGACATGTTAATGATATTACATTTGTCCTTGGAAGGAAAATAGCTTGCTCATCCCCCACAATAGCCTTCCCGAAACATACTGTGGTTTTGTATCGATATCTGAATTGTTGAAGTAGAATACAAATCTCGAACCACTACAGATAGAAATGGTGATACATTTGGACAATATTTACACTTGACTGGGATGGGGAAGAGAGTTGAGGTAGATTAAACACAACTAGAAGAAACCAGATCAATTGGAATATCAGTGTCATTTATGAAAATGGTAGATCAGCTTTTACAGCCCATTTGTTTCAGAATGCTCTAATGCTGTAATTATGTTGTTTTTATCCATCAATAGTCACATCTGTAGACCATTCTTCATATTCTAAAAGTAAATGATAATGACTTGAAGGACTAACGAGGCTAGTGTGAGCCAGGAAAGTTGTTTGGTCAACATAGACTGCAGGTGGAAGACATTAGAGGAGGAGTTTGGGCAGCATAGACTGCAGAAGGAAGACACTAGAAAGAGAGAGAGTGTGGGCAGCATAGACTGCAGGAGGAAGACACTAGAGAGAGAGTGGGCAGCATAGACTGCAGGAGGAAGACACTAGAGAGAGAGTTTGGGCAGCATAGACTGCAGGTGGAAGACACTAGAGAGAGAGAGAGAGAGTTTGGGCAGCATAGACTGCAGGAGGAAGACACTAGAGAGAGAGAGTTTGGGCAGCATAGACTGCAGGTGGAAGACACTAGAGAGAGAGTTTGGGCAGCATAGACTGCAGGTGGAAGACACTAGAGAGAGAGTTTGGGCAGCATAGACTGCAGGTGGAAGACACTAGAGAGAGAGAGTTTGGGCAGCATAGACTGCAGGTGGAAGACACTAGAGGAGGAGTTTGGGCAGCATAGACTGCAGGTGGAAGACACTAGAGAGAGAGAGTTTGGGCAGCATAGACTGCAGGTGGAAGACACTAGAGAGAGAGAGTTTGGGCAGCATAGACTGCAGGTGTAAGACACCAGAGAGAGAGAGAGAGTGGGCAGCATAGACTGCAGGTGGAAGACACTAGAGAGAGAGAGTTTGGGCAGCATAGACTGCAGGAGGAAGACACTAGAGAGAGAGAGAGTTTGGGCAGCATAGACTGCAGGTGGAAGACACTAGAGAGAGAGAGAGAGAGAGTGGGCAGCATAGACTGCAGGTGGAAGACACTAGAGAGAGAGAGAGAGTGGGCAGCATAGACTGCAGGAGGAAGACACTAGAGGAGGAGTTTGGGCAGCATAGACTGCAGGTGGAAGACACTAGAGGAGGAGTTTGGGCAGCATAGACTGCAGGTGGAAGACACTAGAGAGAGAGAGAGTTTGGGCAGCATAGATTGCAGGTGGAAGACACTAGAGAGAGAGAGAGTTTGGGCAGCATAGACTGCAGGTGGAAGACACTAGAGAGAGAGTTTGGGCAGCATAGACTGCAGGTGGAAGACACTAGAGGAGGAGTTTGGGCAGCATAGACTGCAGGTGGAAGACACTAGAGAGAGAGAGTTTGGGCAGCATAGACTGCAGGTGGAAGACACTAGAGGAGGAGTTTGGGCAGCATAGACTGCAGGTGGAAGACACTATAGAGAGAGAGAGTTTGGGCAGCATAGACTGCAGGTGGAAGACACTAGAGAGAGAGAGTTTGGGCAGCATAGACTGCAGGTGGAAGACACTAGAGAGAGAGAGTTTGGGCAGCATAGACTGCAGGTGGAAGACACTAATCCAGAAATTTCTTGCTCGGTGGACAACAGGTGGTAGGCACCCGAGGAGGAGTTTGCCGTGCTGATCTTTCTAGCTTGTCTTTGTTGCTTGCTTTATCAGTGTAGTTTAGTTTTATGTATGTGCATTATTTTGAATTCTCCAGATTCAGCTGAAGAAAGCTCTCACTGATATTGAAGAACGTAACAAGACTATCTGTGAAAAGACAGAAATCATCAGGCAGAGGGAGGCCAGCATTGAGCTGTTCCAACAGAGGGAGCGTGGGCATGAGACAGAGAGAAGGAAGCTACACAACACAATACAAGAACTCAAGGTTGGGTTCTTCTTTTCTCTGTTACAATATTCTGTGGTCATAGTGTTCTAAGGAATAATAAGTAATATTAGTTTAACCTTTTAGGTAATAGGGGTGGGGTCTGTATATCTGAGCTGGCATTTGCAGATGATGTGGCCCTAATTGCTAAATCAGAGGCACATCTTCAGTCCAGTTTACTTATCTGGAAGAAATAACTCAACAAGAGAATGTTGACCATCAGCATCTCCCAAACTAAAACAATGGTTCTCTCAAGAGGAGGGAAGAAACACAAGATCATGAGAGGACAATATGCAATGGATCAGGTTCCAGTTCACATACAAGGGAAGTCAATAAGTAAGTCACAAATGGTTATGGGGTGGCAGGAAAATGTAGTGTATGGTTTCTAAATGTGTCATTAGGTGACAGCAACATCAAACTTTTTCTCCGTTTGCTAGGTCTTGCATGCACATTCGCAACACAGAAACAAAATAGTGACTATACTTACTGGTTGTACCATCAGAGAACAACGTGCTGTTGTGTGTTTCGTTTTTGGGCCTTCAGATTACATTCATAAAGAAATGCTTCCTGTTTATGCTGTCAAATATTTATCCCGTAAACCAGTGCATAGCTAGGTAAATATCTTTTCTTACGTGCGCTCTAAAATTGTTTATGAAGTCTGATCTGGTCGTCCTGTTGAGATTGCAACAGACACATCCGTGCAGCGGGTGGACAAGACGATTAGAGGTGACAGACAAGTAGCGGTTGACTCTGTAGCAACTGCTCAGATGGTTTGGTTCAGCATACAACATAATGCATGATCGACTTAAATTTTCAAAAGTGCTCAAGGTGAGTACCAAGACAATTGATGGACGGACACAAAATGAACCCATTTGGCCTGTCCTTTCAGCATCTTTGCAGATGAAGAAAAATTGCTGAACAGGATACTAGGGACAAATCATGGGTGCATCACTACCAGCCAGAATCAAAGAGTGCTTCAATGCAGTGGAAACATCATTTTTCACCTCGTGTTAAAAAATTCAGTTATGCCATCATCAGGGTGGGTTATGCTGACAGTGTTCTGAGATTGTCATGGAGTGCTTTTAACCAATTATTTTAAAAACGCTGACAATGGGAATGCTTATTCATACTGTAAAGTTCTGTCAATGCTTCATGATCTAATTTGAAGAAAATGTCTAGACCTGCGGACTAGAGGAGTACTACAGCCCTGACAGCGGTTTCCACCTTTTTGGCCCACTGAAAACATACCTTGGGGGGAGACATTTAGCGAATGACACAGAAGTTGAATGTGAAGTTAAAATGTGGTTTAAAAATAGAGCAGGCAGTTCTATGCAGCAGGTTTAGGAGGACTGATAAAACAATGAGACATTGGTGTTGAAAAATAAAGGGACAGTGTATGTGTAAAAATAAATGGTTTTCACGTTGTCAACTTTGGTTTCTTTTTCAACAACCATTAGTGACTTACTTGTGGACTTTCCCTCGTGCCTTGGAATAGAAATAAACTAAAGGAAAGCATTAAAGCAGAGTTAGCTACTTGAAAAACAGCAGCTGGGAGACTTTTCTAGCCACAAACCAAGGGTTTCTCTACAAAAGAGAAATGTACAGTTACGGTGGTTAAAACATGTATGCAGAATAGGGGTGAATCAGCCACCAAGGCAGGCATGGGAGACCAGGAACCAGAAAAACAAACCTCCCAGACAACCCAGGGTTCGCCGCTGGGAAGACAACATCTGACAGTCTCTGACTGACAGAGGACTGGATCAGAGCCTTAAAGAAAACTGTTGGTAGAGAAATCTGGCAATTTCTCTGGCAAACTTCTATACTCTAGGGTAGGAGAGGATCAACTAAGTAAGTTATACAGATATTACTACTCTGCTGGCCACCCATATGTGTGTTTTATTTATGAAACTGGACTAATTATATTGAAAAACTCCAAACAAATATAACGAAAAACTATAAGATAATAATATACTTTATAATTGTGAACATATTTACTTCTTTCTTACATACAAACACACATGTGTATGCATACATATATATTTTGTCTTGAGAAAATGTGAGACAGCCTTGACATTTTTTTGAAGCTTTTGCTGTCATCCTGTTTAGTTAATCTGGTTGTTTTATAGTTGTGCTGAATGCCTGTTTTTTAATCCAGGGCAATATCCGAGTGTTCTGCCGTGTTCGGCCGCTGCTCGCAGAGGAACAGTTTGGAAATGGTGGTGTCATTTCACACATGAACTTTCCTGACATGGACATGAAGATCTTGGAACTTGACAAGTTGTCAGACATTTCTGTTAATGAGGTTTGGCCATTTTCCATTCTGAGTTTTTCTGACGAAAACGTGCCTTATATAGAATTTAAATGCCAAAAGGTGGTTTTACTGCATGAACATAACACATAAAGAATTATATACATTTTCCATCCTGAATGGTTCTTCTGATGTGAACATAACTCATATGAAGAATGTTAAACAATTTCTATCCTGAGTGAACATGCCACTATATGAACAAGCTGCAGATCACGGCAGGCAAGATTGTTTTTCACACAGACTCGCTGTCAGCCATACAGGCTCTTGAGACCAAACTTACTAACAGCACACTACAAAGTCTAACAAATGAACTTGCTATGTTGTTAAAAAAGGCAGAAACTCACCTGCAGTGGATACCATCTCACTGTGGCATCAAAGGCAATGACAGCACTGATGCTTTAGCCAAAGAAACAAACCACAAATCTACCAGCCACTATCTTTTCCAGAAGTCAAAACTCTCAGTAAGAGAAAATCAGAAACAGATTGGAAAACAACATTGGTTATAACAACGAAAAAAATTTTCTCAAGCACTTGAACAGACCAGACCAAGTCGCAGTTTTTTGCTTACACACATGACACTGCAGACTCAATAAACACTCATATAAATTAGGTATGAGCCAAACAGCTTTCTGCCAGTGTCTTCATGCTGAACAACCTCAAGAACATGTCCTGCAAGACTGTCCTCGCTTGGTGGAGCTGCGGAGCAATATATGGCAAAACAAAGTAGACATGACAACTAAGCTTTGGGGAAGCCTAAGAGACCTTGAGATGACATCCCAGTTTATTGCCCACAATGTATTATGCGCTTGACCAGAGATCGCTTTTTTGAAGAAGAACATGCCTTATATAGAGAGTGTTACACATTTTCCACCTGGGTGGTCTGACGTGAACATACCATTTATGAAGAATGTTACACATTTTCTATCCTGGATGGTCTGACATGATCATACCACATATGAATAATGTTTCACATTTTTTATCCTGGATGGTCTGACATAAACATACCATTTATGAAGAATGTTACACATTTGTTATCCTGGATGGTCTGACATAAACATACCACATATGAATAATGTTTCACATTTTTTATCCTGGATGGTCTGACATAAACATACCACATATGAAGAATGTTACACATTTTTTATCCTGGATGGTCTGACATAAACATACCACATATGAAGAATGTTTCACATTTTTTATCCTGGATGGTCTGACATAAACATACCACATATGAAGAATGTTACACATTTGTTATCCTGGATGGTCTGACATAAACATACCACATATGAAGAATGTTTCACATTTTTTATCCTGGGTGGTTTTATTTTTCTTAAAGTCCAGTGCATGTGGCATTGGTAGTCATGTCTACCACAACTTCTGTCTGGTGTACTTTCAGTCAGCTCTGACACAGATGTTCCTTCATGCCATGATGTCTACCACAACTTCTGTCTTGTGTACTTTCAGTCAGCTCTGACACAGATGTTCCTTCATGCCATGATGTCTAACTGTCCAGCATCTTCTCTCTTACTCCCTCTGCCCCTCCAACTTTCCCACCATCATGATGTATTCCAGTTTTCTCTTTCTCATGACATGTAAAGAATATTACACATTTCCTCGCTTAACGAGCACCTCTCAAAACAAGTAATTCGCATAACGAGCAAAACAAATTGTAAAAGAATGACTCGCTTAACGAGTGGCGAGGAGAGGGGAAGTCCCGGATTTTGCACATGTTACATCAGTCTGTGTTTAGCACTTGTTCCAGTAGCATTGTCGCTTGTGATCACACATTTTCTCAAACTTGTGTTGTATTGTGATATATGTACATGAATCCTCCAGGGCTACAAGATGACCTCCCTGATGATTTTAAGTCAATCAAAATCCAGTTTATGCCTCCCAACACCACTCCGTTACTCCAGCCAAAAGACCAGCAAGTTATTTCTAACTTTAAGAAGTTCTACACTAAAGCACTCTTCAAGCATTGTTTTCAGGTGACTGAAGGTACCAACCTCACTCTCAAAGAGTTAAAAAATCACTTCCACATCGTTGCCTGCCTCAAGATGAACGACAAGGCGGGGGAAGGGGTTATCAAGAGAACTCATAACTTCTTCTTGGAGGAAGCTTTGGCCGGAGAGTGTTGTCGATTTTTGACTGAGGGGTTCGAGACAGTACCTGTAGAACCTGTAGTCAACGAGATTGTGTCATTGGCCACTATCATGGAATTGTAGGTGGATAACAGTGATATCGAAAAGCTTGTGAAAGAGCACAGCCAAGAGCTGACCATCGAAGAGCTTATGGAGTTGCATTGTGTTTCACATCAAGACGTTTTGGAGGAAAGTTCGTCAGAGGAGGAGGAGGAGAAGGTAACAGAAAAGCAGCCATCTTCTGACGAAATAAGAGAAATGCTGAAAGCATGGGAAACTGTTGCTTCTCACATTGAGAAGCATCACCCTAATAAGGAAATGGCTATGCGCGCTGCAAATTTAATGATAATGCTGTGTCGCATTTTTGCCAAATTTTGAAGCGTCAACAAAAACAAATGTCTCGGGACATCTTTCTAGTAACAAAATAATTAGCTTTGTATCATAATTATTTCAACTTTTTTTTTCTGCAAATCGAATTCGCATTCCATGTGGGTTTGTTCCGCGTTTGAAGAAAAGATGATTCACTCTCCTTAAATATGAATATAATTTTCTTTGAATAAATGTTATAGTATAACTTATACATAGCATTTTTTTTCGACATGGAACGCATTATCGTATTTTACATTAATTTATATGAGAAAAATTGTTTCGCTTAACGAGTTTGATTCTGGAACGAATTATGCTCGTTAAGCGAGGTTCCACTGTATGTTGTTTGACATTGAAAAAATCCACTAACAAATGCATGCAAAAAATGGACCTATTACAACTATAATATGCAGGTTTTGTTGCTATCTTCAGAGTGTTCTGAATTCTACAAAGTCCAAGAGTGTATCCAAGTACGAGTTTTCATTTGATAAAGTCTTTCAGCCGGAGTCTTCTCAGGCCGAGGTCTTTGAGGAAATATCACAGCTGGTTCAGGTGAGCGATAGAGACATAATTGTTGTGTTACATTACTTGTTGTATCTCTAGAGACATAATTGTTGTGTAACGTTACTTGTTGTATCTCTAGAGACATAATTGTTGTGTTACGTTACTTGTTGTATGTCTAGAGACATAATTGTTGTGTTATGTTACTTGTTGTATCTCTAGAGACATAATTGTTGTGTTACGTTACTTGTTGTATGTCTAGAGACATAATTGTTGTGTTATGTTACTTGTTGTATTTCTAGAGACATAATTGTTGTGTTACATTACTTGTTGTATCTCTAGAGACATAATTGTTGTGTTACATTACTTGTTGTATCTTTAGAGACATAATTGTTGTGTTACGTCACTTGTTGTATCTCTAGAGACATAATTGTTGTGTTATGTTACTTGTTGTATCTCTAGAGACATAATTGTTGTGTTACATTACTTGTATCTCTAGAGACATAATTGTTGTGTTATGTTACTTGTATCTCTAGAGACATAATTGTTGTGTTATGTTACTTGTATCTCTAGAGGCATAATTGTTGTGTTATGTTACTTGTATCTCTAGAGACATAATTGTTGTGTTACATTACTTGTTGTATCTCTAGAGACATAATTGTTAATTGTTGTGTTACGTTACTTGTTGTATCTCTAGAGACATAATTGTTGTGTTATGTTACTTGTTGTATCTCTAGAGACATAATTGTTGTGTTACATTACTTGTATCTCTAGAGACATAATTGTTGTGTTACGTTACTGGTATCTCTAGAGACATAATTGTTGTGTTATGTTACTTGTATCTCTAGAGGCATAATTGTTGTGTTATGTTACTTGTATCTCTAGAGACATAATTGTTGTGTTACATTACTTGTATCTCTAGAGACATAATTGTTGTGTTATGTTACTTGTATCTCTAGAGACATAATTGTTAATTGTTGTGTTATGTTACTTGTATCTATAGAGACATAATTGTTGTGTTACATTACTTGTATCTCTAGAGACATAATTGTTGTGTTATGTTACTTGTATCTCTAGAGACATAATTGTTGTGTTATGTTACTTGTATCTCTAGAGACATAATTGTTGTGTTACATTACTTGTATCTCTAGAGACATAATTGTTGTGTTACATTACTTGTATCTATAGAGACATAATTGTTGTGTCACATTACTTGTATCTCTAGAGACATAATTGTTGTGTGATGTTACTTGTTCTGTCTCTAGAGGCATAATTGTTGTGTGATGTTACTTGTTCTGTCTCTAGAGACATAATTGTTGTGTTATGTTACTTGTTCTGTCTCTTTATCACATAAACATGAACATATACAAAAGAAAAGTAACAGACTAAACTGCACAACAGAAATGGTGGGACTGAGAATAAATACAATGAAAACTAAGATCATGGCAAACAGTCCAAACCAACAACCAGTGACCATAAGTAACCAATCACTTGAAAATGTAGAACATTTCACATATCTTGGCAGTGTGGTGTCCCTACTGGGAGGGACAGAGGAAGACATACAGTCACGTCTGAACAAAGCTAGAGCTGCTTTTGGAAGGATGAGGCAAATCTGGAAATCCAACAATTACTGCAGAGGAACGAAACTCTGACTCTACAAGAGCATCATTTTGCCAGTTCTTCTTTATGGAGCGGAATGCTGGAGAATGACCAAAAAGGATGCACACAAGCTGTCCACCTTCCACCACACATGTCTACGTAGAATTATCCAAATTTTCTGGCCATATACAATCTCAGATACTACTTCAAGCCACAAACCAAGAAACTTTAGACAGTATGATTACCAAGAGAAGATGGAAATGGCTTTTTTCTTCTGAATCCGTCTGGTTCAAACCCAGACATTCATGCGAGAAAGTACTGCTACCCATGGATTTAGACTGGATATCAAGTTTTTCTGAGCAATAGCAAAAAGCAAAAACCAAAAAAACTGGACAGTTTAAAACTGTCCAGATCCCTCCTCCACCATGTGTGTGTTTGAAATTATTGGTCGTTTATTATGAAAGATTGTAAACAATTTATTTTCATCTTTGTCTTCACAGAGTGCCCTGGATGGCTACAATGTGTGCATTTTTGCCTATGGTCAGACTGGGTCTGGAAAGACATTTACAATGGAGGGTTCCTTGAATGATGAGTCGCTCCTGGGAATGATCCCAAGAACTGTTCAGCAGATTTTCAAATCAACAGCAGAGTTACAGAAGAAGGGGTGGGAGGTAAGCTTCACTTACAGCAGTTGATACAGTGTTGTTTTCCCTTCCTTTCAGTGTGTGCATCTGTCTTCTTCGCGCTTACCAGCTGTAAACTCCAGTGGTAATTTTTGGTTGTTAGTCTCTTTTGGAATTTATTCTGGTTCTAGCGCTTGAGTTTTGCGTGCACATCCGGTTGAAAGATCTGGCTTATTTGTACACAGACTTGATTCCTTGACTGTCAGGCAGATGCACACCAACTTTGCAGAAAACCCTCTGTTATTTGACTCTTATGGGGTGCTTGTTAGGGAGGCAATGGGTCTGTTAATTTGTATGTCACGTTACATGGTTCTCTCCACTTCATCTGTTGTAGATAGTTGTTAGTAAAACCCCTAAAGACAGTTGGATTCCTTTGTCTTCTTCTGTGTTCACCCTTAAAGGGGCAGTTCACACATTGTGGTTTACAGCTAGGCTGTGATGTCTGCACCTTTTGGCACAAACAGGTAAGCTGTAATATGTGTGTGTATTAGTAAGTACTTCATGATGGAAGTGACACAGCAGATGTCTACCGATCATCTGTAGAGGTCCTTCTTCAACATTTATTTAGGTCCGTTTAACCCCTAAATAATCTCGGGGGGGGGGGGGGGGGGGGGCCTGCAACCTGGTCGTGGGGGCCTGCAACCCTGGTCGTGTCTCCTGTGCCTCTTCTTCTGTGCTTATCCTAGCAGAAAAAGTGAGACTTGATTAAATCATTTGACACTGGCATAATGATTGGTTCCGCTATTGCATCAAACTATCAACCCTGCACTTGAAGGTACCATGCAGATCAGGAGTGAATCAGCTTCTGACACTGGCTAGCAATTGCCAGTGACTTGCTATAACAGCACAAGCTGCACGGTTATCTTTAATACCCCGTCCATGGTTATGCCTCAGCACTGGCCTGTGAGAAGCCAGCTCTTCTCTAGGCCTGGACTCCTGCGCCAGGCCAGGGTTTTCCACCCCCGACTTGCTGCAGGCTATTCCACTGTCTGGGCTTCCATTGACCATCACCGCTTGGGAATTGCACAATTCCCTAATTTATTAGCTGAGTCTGGCAGAAGGACCAGTCAGCTTGCATGAGCCAAGCTCAAATCTAGACAGTTCATTGGATGGATGTTGATCAGGCAGAAATTTGGGCTTAAGAGAGAGAGACTTAACAGTTCTTTTCCACTTGGAGACCTATCCAGCCTACAGAGAAGAGAGAGAGAGAGAGAGCACACCCACCCTCTAATTCTGGCTACTCCATAGCCAGCACACGGTTTTCTCAGCTGGCTTGTCCAGTCACTTCAGTGCCCATGTCCGTACATTGCCGCGCATCCCCAGCTGTCTCAGGACATTATATTGGAATTAGGAGCTAACTTTCTTGCGCCTACCTCAAAGATGAAGATGCGAACTGCGTACCTGATCACTGCATTTTTCGAGCTTATACAAGTGCTGCTCCTCAGTCCATAATTGGAACGCTTAGCTTAACCAGTATGAGCTGTCTAGGGGTGCAGCACCAGGTCTCTTCTCAGCTGGTGGAGGGTGTTTAGAGTGGTCCAATTGTTGGCCCTCTTCCTAATTTGGTCCATATATATATATATATATGTTTATACATGTTTACATTTCTTAATAAACATTTGTATATACTTCTTTGATTTATATTTTGTATCCCTTGTTTGTGTTCTAATCTGTATTTTTGTCTCACCTCTGTGTAGCATATCAAATTTATTACAATCGTTCACAGTACACCCTGCAAGTGTCCATGCTGGAGATCTATAACGAGACCATCCAAGACCTCCTGGGCAAGGGCAAGGACGAGAAGCTGGAGATCAAGATGCAGGGCAAGGGAGAGACTGACGTCTACGTACCCAATCTGACTATTGTGGATGTTAGCACAGAGAGCAAGGTACGACAATGAGTACTTCCTCCTTCACCTTTTTCATTTATTTTACTTATTTTTTATTTTATATGGTTGTATATTATTTCTCCTTAGCTCTTTCAGGCCCAAACAACGCTGAGTGTATTGACTGAGAAGTTTTGATTTGTCCAGACCACACAGTCTGCTTTGGTTGTGTGTCCTGCATAAATTGATTCGCATGCTGTTCCTGATTAGATTTAAATGTCTGAAACTACCATTAAAATATTCAGGAAAGGCTACTCGTAACATTTTTTCAACTTTATTTACAAGTCTTTGTTCATCCATTTAGGCACACATTTATCCAATTCATTGCCAGCATCATTTTAAGACAGTAATGGATACCAATATTCCTAACACAAGAGCAGGCTTCAAAATACACCTTGATGCTGCTGAGGCTCAGAAATTGTTTAAGTCAGATGTTTTTAAATTATGATTATGATAATGAAAACCTAAATTTTTTTTGGGAAAGTGTTTTGGATGGTGAATTTACACCAATGGAAGCTGAGCGGTCAGCTGTTGAAGAATCTAGCAGTAAACCCAGAAGGACCCATTTCATTTGTGATTGATGTGATAGTCACCCACGTTTGCGGCCAAAGGACTGTTTCAAACAGTACCATACTATGCCTGAGCTGCAGTTTAATCATTGCAACTACAGCCTCTGTATATAACCACAGAGTAAATATTTTGTGTGAAATGTTTCAATTTTCTGCCATTTTTTCCATTGAAATTTGTTTAGCACTATAAGAACCCAGAGCCTCTGAGTGATAAAGTAACACAGAAACTTATACTTGTTGAATTTGTTAGGAAATTGAACAAACTTTAAAGTGTTATTCTCAAATGTGGATATTTACTGCTCTTGCGGTTGGCAAATGAAAAAAAAATTTCGGTAAAAATTTGCCTTTGTTAACTTAACACAGCTGAATTCTTTTTTTTTTCCCCTCCCATTAAATAAAACAGCATTAAACATACGCATATTATGTTTCAAAATGTACATTCATTTTTCATTTCTTTTTGAAAAAATATATAATTTTCTAGGGATTAGATATATATTACATTCTCTATTGAATTTTTTTACACTCACACCCCCCACCCCACCCCACCCCACACGTTTTTATGGTAAAAGAAAATTAATTCAAGCCAGGTCCCAAAATTCATGGGCCTGAAAGAGATAATAAGAGAAAACCTTAAACCCACAGGCAACACCAAAAAAAAAAAACAACTCTGCTGCTCTTTGTTGCATGACAAAATTTTGGGGACCATCTTTAAACCAAAATCATCTGCCGTATGATGTCATGTTCTTAACATTTTTACATCCTTAACAACAAAGTTCACAGATTACAAGACAGTGACATAGTTATTGCAATTACTGTCACACTTTTAAGGTTTTTATTTGAAGCCTTTTTTTAAAAATCACTTATTCTCATCTCTCTTTTTGTGTGTTTTTGTGGTTTATCTTTTGTTTGCTGATTACTGATAAAGGCTTGTTGCTGTGCAGCCCTTTGTTGTTGCCCCATTATGTAAAACATTTTCTCTCTTATTATTTACATCCCTATTATTTACATCCCTAGATGAAATGTATACCCTCAGATCTCGCCAAGCACTTTTTAAAATCTGTGTATGATTGTTTGGGTTTTCCCCACATCCAGCCCTCTGCCATGATCACAGCTGCTTTAGTAAATTGTGTTACAAATGCCACGGTTGTTTTATCCTACCTGTGATGGTTGTGTATGAAATACATTGTTGCCAGGTGTTGAGTTTGTTGAAGACTGCCGGCAAAAACAGGGCTGTGGCGGAGACTAAATGCAATGACAGATCGTCACGGAGTCACTCAGTATTCCAGATGCGACTGGCCGGGTCCAACAGCATAACTGGCGAGGCTTGTAAAGGTTTGTCGCCTTGAATAGATCCTTTTTTTTTAAAACTTTTCATAAACACATTAAGTTTCTTTCACTTTTCCTGTTTTAGCTAATTATGTAGTGTTTCTCTGTTTTTGTTTTGTTTTTGAAGTTAAAATTGATATAGTTAATGATGTACATCTAAATCAGTGGTTCTCAACCTTCCTAATGTGGTGACCCCTCAATACAGTTTCTTATGTTGTGGCGACCCCCCCAACCGTACAAATTATTTCATTGCTACTTCATTGAATATGTGTTTTGCAATGGTCTTTGGCCACACCTGTGAAAGGGTCATTCGACTCAAAAAGCGTCACGACCCATATGTTGAGAATCACTGATCTTACTTAAAATAGTTTTCATTTCTGGTATTGCAGTTTCAGTCCATATGCCTGATCAGGTCTCTTGCCAGGCATTGTTCATTACTGTTTGTTAATTAATCCTACTTTTGTGTGTGTTTGGTTTTTGTGTCTGTCAATCTATCCTTGTGTATTTTCTCACTGTCACTTACTCATATACTCTTGTTTTCCCCTCATTTTCTTTTCAAGCTCATGCTCCATTTTTTTTAAATTGTGTTGGTAAATATTGACTGTTCTCTTCCTAACTAAAAAAATATGAATTGTTTCATTTCAGTTTGGATTGTTAAGTTTCTTTTGGCTCTCGCTTTTTTCGGCCTGTCTTACTTTGACTATTCATGGTATTTCTGAAATGCTTACTGACTTATTTTTAAAAAAAAAACAGTTTATATTAAAAATATATGTAGTAGAATATTACATCACATGATACAACAGTGGTTGCTAAGTTTGTTTTAATTATTCCTCCAGGTACATTGAATCTTGTCGACCTTGCCGGGAGTGAGAGGATTAAGGAATCTGGATCAGAAGGTCAGAGGTTAGTCGAGGCCCAGAGCATCAACAAAAGTTTGAGCAACCTTGGGAATGTGATCATGGCGTTAGGAAAAAAGGTAATGCTGTGTTTAATTTCTGTGTTGCTTCTTTTCTGTTTTGGATTTAGTGAACAATGCAACTGATTAGTTCCCCCCCCCCCCCCCCATCCCCATCACTCCTCCCAAGTAGTAAAGGTAAAGTCGGAAGATGTGAACCAGCATCATTGCACACAGTTATGAACCATAAGTACTCTGCCACCCGTGCGAACAGCTGATAGGAAACTTCGCCTGTGTCGCCGTCCGCACGCAACTTCGTAGCTGCTGCAACATTCCTCCATTTACCCCCCAAAGAATTTACTCTGGTGCCCATTACCTAGAGGCTGGGTGAACCCCGGTCTGAAACACTGGCCGTGGGCTGCAGCGAGTCGCAGCTGGATTTAAAAGCGAGTCTCCTATCGAATGCGCTAACACAGCCCCCCCCCCCCCTTCCCCAATAATTAATAACCACGCAATTATGCTCCTCAAAGTTATGAACTAATAACCAATCTGGATGTTGTCTGGTAGTTTACAGCTAAGCTGCTATGTCTTGTCTTTCGGCCAAACGCATCCAGTTTAGACAAATTTGTAGGTAGAAAGTGAGGTCCCAGAATCACAGTGAAGATAAGTGTGTAACCCGGAGAGAATCGAAACAGTTACTTTTAAGCATTGGCGTGTTTGGCACCCTAGCGGGTTCTCTATCCGAGCTTGTCAGAAAGGGGGCGAAGAGGAACATTTACAGAATGGGAGTAACTTCTGATGATCAGAAGTATCCTGTTGGTCCTCACTCCCCAGTAGACTTTTTCACCACTGGGGTTGAGTTTCTGCAGCCTCTCACCCACTCACTCCCCAGTAGACTTTTTACCGCTGGGGTTGAGTTTCTGCAGCCTCTTACACACTCACTCCCCAGTAGACTTTTTACCGCTGGGGTTGAGTTTCTGCAGCCTCTCACACACTCACTCCCCAGTAGACTTTTCACCGCTGGGGTTGAGTTTCTGCAGCCTCTCACACACTCACTCCCCAGTAGACTTTTCACCGCTGGGGTTGAGTTTCTGCAGCCTCTCACCCACTCACTCTCCTGATGTAAATAAGAAATCTTTCATCGTAGTATGTGCCTATGATGTTGGAGCACATCTGCCACACAGGCAGGAACCAACATAGTAAAGTGAGAAAAAAAAGAGTAGAGGACCCTTTTTCTTGCTTCAGGCATATTGGGCATATAGGACTAGACATATCTTTCCTGGACCAATCAGCACTTGGTTGGTGATATGGCCAGCATCATGCTGGCTGCCTTTTCTTCCCAGGACCGCACCTGGTACCCACTGAAGGCTGGGTAGACCTGGAACCTATGTCATTACTGAAATAAAGTTTGGCTCCATCAGGACCCCAAACCCAAGTCCTTCAGTTGAAACGAGCATCTAGCCACTACACCATGGAGACTATCCATAGGGATGGAACAAGATACTGCACACAAATAAGCCAGTAAAGCAGCTTTACATGCAAGACTCAAGTCCTAGCAAAAAAGCCAGAGTCCAACTAGACAAACAGCCAGGACTTTCTGCCTGAGTTTACAGCTATCTTAGTGTTGTATTCACGGATTTCGACAACTCATAAAGAAGGCAATAAACAGTTACACAAATTTGCCATTTGTGTAGTTAAAGGTGGCCAAGGAAGATCGGCGTGAGACTGACTTCCCTGATCCCAGAGCTATAGCTGCAAAAGCCAATCTGATAGGAAGTCTACAAAAAGCTCTGCGTGAGTTATAATCTTCACTGGGACATAAAATAAACAATATGGAAAGTTGTTATTCTTCTTTTCGTTTTCCCTGCTAGAGGTTTCAGATGATAAGGTCACACAGGCCTCTATGAAGTCTGGTGCAACGCATGTCTTTCCACTGTTGCGCTGGTTTTCATAGAAATGGCAACAGACCAAACCTGTGACGTCTCTACTGCATGTAGAGAGAATGTTTGTGGCACATATTCAGTATTCTGTGGTGCCTAAATACGTGGGCAAAGTTCTGATTCCCCAGTCATGAATTTCTTGTAGATATGGCGGCAGAGTCTGTTGTGTTCCAGTACACGTTCTAAATATAATGGTCTGTTTCTTTTGCGCAAGGAGGTTGGTTAGGTCTTCAGGACTTTGTCCTGGGTGGGAAATGTCCCAGAGGGTTCTAGTGGCTGTCTTGATCTTTTTTTATTTCACTTTCAAGTTCATCCAGTATCTGGCTGTTCTGTTTGATTTTTGCTGATCTGTATGTGATGGTGTTCGTTTATGTTTCAGGACAAGCACATACCTTACCGGAACTCCAAGCTGACGTATCTGCTGCAGAATTCTCTTGGAGGAAACAGCAAGACCCTCATGTTTGTGAATGTGTCTCCTAAGGAAGAGTGCTTCTCAGAGACACTCAACTCTCTTCGCTTTGCCACAAAGGTAATTACATGATTACTTTAAACCCTGGGATGTCTGTGTAATTATTGTTTGTGATACTTCACTCAACCCTGTCCAATTATTGTTTGTGATACTTCACTGTTTGTTAACCACTTCACTGAACCCTGTCCAATTATTGTTTGTGATACTTCACTGTTTGTTAAACACTTCACTGAACCCTGTCCAATTATTGTTTGTGATACTTCACTGTTTGTTAACCACTTCATTGAACCCTGTCTAATTATTATTTGTGATACTTCACTGTTTGTTAACCACTTCATTGAACCCTGTCCAATTATTGGTTGTGATACTTCAATGTTTGTTAACCACTTCAGTGAACCCTGTCCAATTATTGTTTGTGATACTTCAATGTTTGTTAACCACTTCAGTGAACCCTGTCCAATTATTGTTTGTGATACTTCACTGTTTGTTAACCACTTCAGTGAACCCTGTCCAATTATTGTTTGTGATACTTCAATGTTTGTTAACCACTTCATTGAACCCTGTTCAATTATTGTTTGTGATACTTCACTGTTTGTTAACCACTTCAGTGAACCCTGTCCAATTATTGTTTGTGATACTTCAATGTTTGTTAACCACTTCAGTGAGCCCTGTCCAATTATTGTTTGTGATACTTCAATGTTTGTTAACCACTTCATTGAACCCTGTCCAATTATTGTTTGTGATACTTCACTGTTTGTTAACCACTTCATTGAACCCTGTCCAATTATTGGTTGTGATACTTCAATGTTTGTTAACCACTTCAGTGAACCCTGTCCAATTATTGTTTGTGATACTTCAATGTTTGTTAACCACTTCAGTGAACCCTGTCCAATTATTGTTTGTGATACTTCAATGTTTGTTAACCACTTCAGTGAACCCTGTCCAATTATTGTTTGTGATACTTCAATGTTTGTTAACCACTTCAGTGAACCCTGTCCAATTATTGTTTGTGATACTTCACTGTTTGTTAACCACTTCATTGAACCCTGTCCAATTATTGGTTGTGATACTTCACTGTTTGTTAACCACTTCATTGAACCCTGTCCAATTATTGGTTGTGATACTTCACTGTTTGTTAACCACTTCATTGAACCCTGTCCAATTATTGTTTGTGATACTTCACTGTTTGTTAACCACTTCACTGAACCCTGTCCAATTATTGTTTGAGTGACTGCGTTGTCAGTTAATTGTGCTGTAGTGCCAGTATATGTCACATGGGGCTTGCAGTCTAAACCTCTATTCCATTCTGTCCTGTGCAGTTATGGATGGAATCCAGTCCAGCCCCTCTGGTTTCTCTCATCAACATTCACATTAGAGTTTCTCTTGGGATCCTCTTTTTCTCAGTACCTGTTTCCCATTTCAGGGCCTGCTTAGTATTTTGCTGTTCATCCCTTCTTAGGATTTGTCCAGAATAGCGCCACCTTCTGTTTTTTAAATGCTGATATAAATAGTAGTGGTTGCTCAGAAGTATCCAATAATCATTAGACTTAGTTGATCCCTGTGGGTTCCAGGGCCCCATCGTGGGGGATAAAAACAGACCCACTGCCCCATAATATGCACATGTTGCAACAGTTGACTAATTAGGGGTGTTGACTTCGAAGTGGTAGAGCATCTGCCTCAGTGGCAAAGAGACACCAGTCTGTATACAGATATGCCAGATCTGTGAAACAGATGCGAAACTCAGGTCCTGAAAGAAGACAAAGGCCCAGAAGTGGTAAATAACTAGAACGTTCCGCTGGAGTTTACAGCCAGTAAACATGAAGAAAAATATTAACCTCAATTTTAATCTTTCATTGAGTATGAGGTGAGGAAAAGAAGCTGGAGCTGGATAGGGCACTTTGAGAACATTTTATAATAGTATAACTAGGATCACCTTCATACAAAATCTGAACATCAAAGAATATTGGCTCATTAACAGTATCTTGTCTTGGCAACTGAAATGCTTTCTTCATGTCAAGCAATGGACTAGAAAGAAGAATACCTGCAGGCAGGATACTGGGTTAGAGGGGCAGGGACCAACCACCACGAAGATGTAAACAGGTCATAAAAGACACACTGGGCAGGAAAGCTGGCGAGGAACCACATTTCTCCCAGGAATACTGTGATGGGAGAAACAATCTGTAAAGGACCTACAGTATGATGTTGAGAAAAACCTGTACACTGCAAGTCACAGTGCACAAGTCAGGCGTAGACTTACAACACACAGAAGAGATAAGACAGATGGACAACTTGGGCACATAGAGGAACATTTGATTACTGGTCTCTACCTGAATGGGGGGTATAAAAGACAAATTAAATGATAGTTTTATCATTAGAATATCACAAGCCATCTTATTGTTTTTTGCTGGCAGTACATCAATGTCTAGGTCAGTGGTTTTCAATCTTTTTCAGGTGGTGCCCCCTAAATATGTTTGATCTAGTATCAGACTCAGTGAGCGTGCCTAAGACAAACTCTGCCTAAAATTGGTTGACAACTTTCAGAAATCCCACCTTAAGAAACTGTCTTGGCTGTATACACCAGGACGGCGAGGGAAGGGAAATGAAAGAGCAGACGGGCCGTACCTACAGTAGTTAGTGGAATGAATGAATGCACTGCGTTCCATATACACTGAGATAAAGGAGTCAAAGATAGTGAAGCCCCTGTTGGAAATAGGTGTTAATGAGCAGAAACTGGTGTTAGGGCAACTCCTACTAGGTGTCTTGAAAATGGAGACACTACGATTGCTGTTGCAACGGAAGAGGTAGCATGAAAAGGTTAGCCCAAGGTGATAGAGTGTCGGTAATTAAGAAGAAGAGTACAAAAAGAAAAATGCCTGTTAATTATTCGCATTCACCAGCTGTAAACTCTGGCAGAAGGTTCTAGTTGCTCGTCCACCACTGAACTGCAGTCCTGCTCCAGAACCTGAGTGTTGCATGTGCATCAGTTTTACCGATCTCATTCTCTTGAATACAGACTGTTGGTTCCTTGCCTCTCCGGCAGATGCACTCCAACTTCAAAGGAAGCTCCCCAATTAGTCGACTCTTACGACATGCTTTTGGGGAGGCAGTGGGTCTGTTCTTGTTTCCCCCACAATGGGGACCCGGAACCCACACGGGGGTGCCTGTTAATAAGTACTTAGAAAAAGAGAAAAAAAACATCCACATAAATCTGTGTCAAATAATATTTTTTTTTTAAACAATCACTAACTGGTAATTTAGTGTCAAATATTGTGATGATGAAGATTGTTTTGTCGTGAAGGTATCTGCTATTTTTGATGTAATCTTGGACATGGCACAAGCTTGTGATTCTTCTATCTTTCATTACTGTTCTTTTATATTTTTTTTTTCTATCTTCAGGTGAACCAGTGCAACATAGGAACAGCTCAAAAAAGGAAATAACAGCTGCCACAATAAATGCTGAGAGAAGACAGCAAGCAGAGATGTAAATACTGAATTGTTATAACTGCTGTAAATGTAAATAATATAGTGCTACCGATATACAGTACCACCAGTGGGACATCTGACAGCTCACATACATTGCCGTACTACAGTTGTCACAATAGACAAGACATACATTGCTGTACTACAGTTGTCACAATAGACAAGACATACATTGCTGTACTACAGTTGTCACAATAGACAAGACATACATTGCTGTACCACCATTGTGACATTAGACAACTCATACATTGCTGTACCACCGTTGTGACATTAGACAACTCATACATTGCTGTACCACCGTTGTGACATTAGACAACTCATACATTGCTGTACCACCGTTGTGACATTAGACAACTCATACATTGCCGTACTACAGTTGTCACAATAGACAACTCATACATTGCCGTACCACAGTTGTGACATTAGACAACTCATACATTGCTGTACCACCATTGTGACATTAGACAACTCATACATTGCCGTACTACAGTTGTCACAATAGACAACTCATACATTGCTGTACCACCGTTGTGACATTAGACAACTCATACATTGCCGTACCACTGTTGTGACATTAGACAACTCATAGATTGCCGTACCACTTTTGTGCCATTTGACAACTCAGTTATTTACCTAGTTGACATATTTGCTTCTTGTGGGCTTACACATTAGCAAAACAGCATGTTGAATATAGGAATCTCCACATGTGTTCTTACAATCACTCATATATTCAACTTATTATCCGCCTTAAATGTATATTTATCTTTATCATAATTTCAGTGTGTCTTACTAGATAAAATGCAGGGTGGGTCAGAAATGTGGCTACACAGAAAGCAACGAAGGATTGTTTTCAGTCGATTAGTTTGAAGCTTTTAAGTGACTGTATTGTTGTGAATTGTTAGTTTGAAGAATTGCTGTGGTCTTTTTTCCGTAGCCGTACTACTGTCATGTGATTCAATATGGGCATTTAAATATGTGTCTTTCAAAACCTTAACAAAATATGGAGTTCCAAGTCATACAGCTTAAAGACCAAACTAGGAATCTTCAGTTCTAACGTTATTTCAATTCTAACAGATGCCAGCGGAAGTTCGAGAGCCCCCAAATATATATATAGAACAATAGTTAAATGCATTTGAAAATAAATGTCTTAGAAAAATCCTGAACATGACATGGGATGATTTCAAACAGAGGGAGGAGATCAGAGAAATGTCTGGACAAATACCTGTATCAACTGCAGTAAGACAAAGAAGGTGGAGATATATTTGGTGCACTCTAAGGTGAAATGAGCAAAGAATTACAAAACATGCACTGAAATGGAAACAAATGGTTTGAGAGAGAAAGAGGACATCGAGGGGAAACATTAAGAAGAACATTATTATAAGAGATACAAAATGCTGGGCTGAACTTATGTCAGAAATCGAGAGAGGAAGGCTTTAAGGGGAGTGAAGGAATCGAATGTGAGCCCTATGTGACATCCAACGGCACACAAAAAATGAGGAGGAGGATTTAAACATGTAGCTACATTTCTGACCTCAGGCTTGTTTTCTCAGCACTTTTTAATATGGCACTGAACCTTAGTCAACTTTTTCGCACCATAAGAAACGGCTAAATAGCTTTCACATGATACGTCTGAGGAGAAATACTTGGCATTGCGTGGTAAGACAAGCAAACACGGGTATTGGAAAGAGCAGGTATTACAGCAGTTCTCTCAATGCATAGTCGGTGAAGGCTCAGGTGGTTGGGTCACACATGGAGGATGATAGATTCCCTAAGGACGTCTCCTGTAGTGAATTACAGATGGGTAGAAGATGTCAAGATTAACCTCTTCTACGATATAAAGATGTGTACAAGTGGGACATGAATGATTCCGGTATTGAGGTGGATTCATGGGAGCAAAATGCCAGACTCTCTCTCTCTCCTTCCTTCCTTCCTTCTTTCCATACACACCTACAAAGTATTCTAATTTTAACATATATTCTTACACAAATTACTCCAATAACATCATCCCTCCATAGCCCCAGAAGTAGCTTGCCAAAACACACCTGCTTTAGAAATTATTTGTTCAGCTATCTAATGGATGGTAAATAGTCATGACTGTTAAACAGTAGAGTGTGTAAAAATATTTTATGAATTAGTTTTAGATTATGTCCTTTTTTTTTTTTGTTTTTTTTTTGTCTCGATTGTTGTCTTTGTTTTAACTGAGCTTATATTCATTCTGTCAGTTGCAGTGAGTTTATGTATCAAATAAACTTGATCACCACAATAGATAAGATTTGTTGTGCTTTTCATCTGAAATGTATTTGACAGTGTATGGCTTGGAAAAATGTTTTTGTCCATTTCCTAATTTACCCGCTAAGTTTAAAGATATGTACTTGCCCGTTATCTTTCCCTTCTTCTTCTCTCGCCTGTTTTTCTTATTCCTCTCTCCTTCCTTTTCCCTCTCATCTTTCTTCCTCTCCCTTTTTCTCTGTATCTCTCCATGCTCTCTTTCTGTTCTCTTCTGCCTCCCATTCTTTTCCCTCCATGCTTTCTGTCCTCCTTCACTTTATCTCTTTTTTTCCCCCCCACTGACATGAGGTTTCCGCATCTGATGTAATTTACCGCCAGTTGACAAGGACTTATAACCCATAACAGCTGCCTCTCAGATTGTTTCTGATAGCAATTATGGCCAGGGAGGAAGTTCCTCCTTTTCTTACCAAAACCCCTGTACAGTATTGTCGAGACCATATGTTACCCAAGCAGCAGGATCCTACCCTCGGCCTGCCTTGTTTACTCCAAAGGAAAGGTAACCCCACTACAGTTTGAATAAAGCAGGTAGCAGAAACTGCCGGATCAAAAGAGCAGGTTGTTGTGTGCTGAACTCACTTTCTGGTTCAGTTGTATCAGGGGCATGATCGCCTACATCGATCGTGAAGGTGCTAGATGATCATGGTAGAGGTGAGTGCAGAAGATCATCGCTGTGCACAAAGTTGGGAAAGAGGTGTTTCACTGCTAACAGTTGATTGCACGCATTTTGCAAGACCCATGTGTGATTAGCTGTAGAGCTGAAAGCTAGCCCGTGGCCAGTCCGTGCCCCTCAGTTTGTGATAGAGTTAGCACGTGTGTGTCTTTTAAGTAATCATGTAAATTATTTTATTCTGGTGGAAGCTTAGATTGTTCAGTAGAATTTGGTGTATATTTCAGAATGCTCCAGCTGAGTGTATTTAATGGAGACAATGCGTTGAGAGCCCAACATCTCTTTATTATCCAACTGTGATGGATGTCTTCCTGATCGCACTGGAGGCTGATTTTGACTGTGGGTCGGGAGCTGTAGTGCTGTAGGCATAGCCGGCTTCTTGTCAGCTATTATGTATAGGTTATTGGTGACCCAAAGTGTGGGCACAAAACCGAGGCGTTTATTAAAGGCTACTGGGGACCCCAGGAGGGGGCCTGTAGGCCAAAGGTGTTAATGTTGTAAACTCGCGTCAAGGCTAGGTGTCGTCCTTTGAGATGATACCGCCTTTGAAGTATACCAATGGGTATTGGCCAGCATTAGACGGACAACAGTTCTGTAATCACCAATTCAACCTTATCATCACACTGTTTTGTCCCAATAAATAGACTGATGCACAATTATAGAGATGACTCTTCCCGTATTATTGATGTGGTTGTTGTTTGCTGTTATCGGTGTTAGTTGTATGATGTGAACTGTGCTAGTTAAGCACTCTCCTGTAGGGAACCCAATTAGTCGACTTGGAAACTTGTGCATATATGGATGAAGCGTTAATTATTCACCTCTAGACACTTAACCAGATATTCTAAACAGCATACATCACAATGCTCTATCTATCCGCCTGTTGGAGCTTCCCTCATAGACCAGCTGCAGGATAAGGAACTGGACTGCCCTGCCATAACAAAGTTTTCATGTTGCATTTAAACTTTCTAGGATAAGACAAGTATCCTCTCTCAATGTGCTCCCCTGCTGATGGCACAATAAGGGATGTCAGGTTTGGTATACGCCGCCTAACATTCAGTGTTAAGAGAAGACAGTTGGTACCGGCCACTGTTCTACGGTAGCTCAGTCATATCTGATCAAGATCTGACCACAGGTTTTACCAAGATTTTATTATAGTTGTATTTTATAAAAAGCTTGTGGGCCAATGATTGTAAACTCCCACACCCAACAAGCTCCTGAACCCACTCAGTGGAGGGCACTTGTGGAGGCCTAAAACAGCCCTGTGGTCAAAATGTTGTTCCTCCATCACAGGTGATAATGATTAGTTCCTTCATCCACTGGTGACTGGATTAGGTTTATGACTAGGCCAATTCTAGCACTGAAAGTTTTTGGGCAGGTAACTGAGGCAGCATCTCTCGGGTGATTTGCTTCAGCGTCTCTCCTGGCTTGGCTTTTCTGAATTGCTGCTGCAGTTCTAGCAGCTTCATGGGCCACAGCTCCTCGATGAAGAGATGAGCGGTCACATGCAGCGACTCCCCAGGTTTTAGGATCAATACTGACGTCTTTTAGTGAGGTCTTGAGTTGTCCTTGAAATGTTTCTTCTGTCTACCTTGAGAGGGTTTTCCTTTTTTGTATATCACCATAGATTTTTTTTTTTTTTTTTTGGCAGTTAGTGGTTAGCCATGACATGGTTAGAATAGATGCCAAGCAGATGTTCACCCCTAAAGTCAACGATGAAACACTGCTAACACAGAAAATAAATCATATATTGTTCAAAGAAGGAGACACAGAACACAACATTTATTTGCTGGAATAGTCCATAATGATTCACTTTAGCCGATAATGCCCATATGAGGATAGTTCTGATGGGGAGAGATGAGGAAGCTTTCATCATCATCCAACGCGATGTTACCTATTCTATAATTATAACCCTGACCGCCGGTAAAGTTCAACTTCCCGTTATGAAACAGCTGGGCGCGGACACTGATGTAGTACAGGCTGCTGGAATCCAAATTACCAAATGCCAGTCCGTCCGGCCACTGTAGGGACTCCCAGTTCTGGGCCAGGGGAGTTTCGGTCACCAGCTTTACCTCCCCTTCAAGGACACCCTGTTGAAGCAAGTCGGTTTCCATTTCCCACCTGAGGAGTACAAGATGAGATTAAAGACTGAGACACTGCAGAAATGTTTGTTCCTGAGCTCCTTTCCTCTTTAATTTAAACCTAATAATCACCGAGATGTGCAGATGATGCTGATGAAAACAGTATTAAATCATGTTTAGCTAACAAAGAAGAAACACGTGAGAGAAGAATGGATATCTAAAAAACTTTCGTCAAAGATAGAAAAATCCAAAAAGAGCAAATAAACCTTGATAGCACACATGAAAATATGGCCGCACAGAAAGCGTATAACATAAAGAAGTAGAGAACAGCTTAAAGAAAGATAAAAAGGAATGCTTAGAATTCAAAGCGGAAGAAGCAGCAGATGATACTAGAACTTTGTATACAATAGCAAAGGATCTTAATCGGAAACATTTTAGCTTTAATGAAGGAAATCTGAAAGACAACTGGAGAAGTAATCACAACGGTAAGAGTGACAGATGGCAAGAATATTTTACCGAGTAGCTGAATAGGCCAACATCAGATATCCCAGTGGAAACAGAAAACTTTGGCCAACTCCTAGAAATGGATATTTGGCCTGTCAGCGTTAAAAAAAATAGAAACGGCAAATAGTAGTATAAAAAAAAATGGGAAAGCACCAGCTGAAGACCGAATTAGTTCTGTCATGTTAAAGGCAGACCCACAATTTACAGCATAAGCATTACATGGAATATTCAACAAAATCTGGATAAATGAAGTGGTCCCAAAAGACGGAAAATTGTGTAATCAGCCCACTACCGAAGAAAGGTGATATCTCACACTGAAACTACTGGAGAGGCATAACATTATTGTCTGTACCCCTACTGTGGAGTGGATCCCAGCCCTTATGGACTGAATGGGTTAATAGGCAGTGAGGATAATCTGTAGACTAACTTACTTACAACTGGGCCCCTCACTGATGTATTTAATTTGGGTCCCCAGTTAGAAGGAACTTGTTTATCACGACTGTATGTCTTGCTTACTTTCAATCAAATTTGACAACAGACGATCTTAAAGGCCAAGATGTCAAACTGCCCAGCATCTTCTCTCTCGATCTTCCTCTGCATCTTTTCACATCCAACATTCCGACTGTCGCGTGCGGATATGCACTAAAACGCACCAATACTGAGCGAGCAAATAGGACGTCAAAACAATACGTAATGTTGTTAATGAACTGTAATCTAAGATTCGGAGTATACAGTAATACAGTCTGAAGGAGACAGACGTGTCTCAGTGGATACTTGAGGACGCTCTACCCCGGTACTCCACTAGGAACCTCAGCCGAAAGCTGGTAAATTGATTATTGCGCTCGGCAAGAAGCGTCCAGGCCGAATCACTAAAGAGGGACATTGCCCTGTTCAGACTGCAGAAGAGGAGACCGGCCAACGTGACCGTCCGGACTTTCAAGGTCGGGCTGTTGACATGTCGTCTGAAGATATCATTGGAACTAAATTAAATGCGTGTGTGCGGTAGCTTGAGTTGGCGTGTTTGGGTGAGTCTTCACCAAGAGTCCTATTATTTGCATATTTTCTCATTTTGATCAAGTGTGTGTAACAAATACACCTATTACATATTCCCTTGCCTTCATCGTTAAGTGCCGTTTGGAAGCATTGAAGTTCATTTTTTTACGTTGGGAATTAGTTTCATACTGTTCTGCCACACTGGGCTGGTGGCAGGGTATTCTAGGTTAAGATGTATTCGTTTGTACCTGATTACACATTTCAATGGGAGCCTACGCCTCTCAGCACCGGAACGCACATCACACCGACCATCACAATTTTGTACGGTTGCCTCATTCTCCTGACATGACCAAAGATATAGGGTAGTCAGGCACTACTATTTTCAGCGTACACATGCCATGTCGTACCTGTATATTGCATTATACCCCAGCGCAGCGTAGTACAAGCCTCGGTGTCCAAACAGAAGAGCGTCAGAGTTTGACTTCTTGCGCCCAACGAGTCGTAGGTTGCCCACGAAATCCGCATCTTTGTCCCGCAGTACCCAGGTAGGAATCTGCCACAGCTTCTTGGATCCTAGGGCAGAGTAGTAGACGTAGTTGAAGGTCGGTGACAGCGCTATGCCGTTGATTCCCTGGGTGAAGTTGAAAGTCTGGCCGTTGATTGAAAGTACGCTGAAAGAAAATTAACAAATAAATACACTTTCAAAACGACAGTTAATCAGGTAACCGCAGTTACAACTTCATAGCAAACGGGTCAATTCATAGTTTGCTCCGTTCCTATGCCAACGACAATCACACGGAATGTTCTTCCCTGTTAGGTTAAAAGTTAGTTTCGAATCCTTTACAGAAATTTGCAGAATCAACCACAGCATTTTTTGGCTGTTGTGGTCTTTCTGGGCAAATATTACTTTCAGTTTGCCACAGCTATCTGAACGGTCAGCTTTCAGTATCACTGTCGAAACCAAAGCAAGACCAACCGTCCGCAGCTGGGGTCGAACATGCAACGCCTAAACAACAGACTTCGTAAATATAAAAAAAAAAATTAAAAAAAAAAAAACAGACACAGACTGCTATCTCAGCAAAGAGAACAGCATACGCACGCATTCAAAGCATACGGCAGATATAATAACACAAACAGTCAGTCACTAGAAGTGTGGTTCATCGTCGATGAAAGCAGCAGTTTCAACAGATTGGTAGTTGCAGGCGCAGTTAATCGTATAAGGCACCACCAGTTCTCATGTAACAGGCCACTCGCCAGTTTCTTATGAAGACCCTGCATACTACCGGACTTGACCATCTGGCTAACTCTCGTCATGTCTCTGCCTCACACTTCTGATCATTTCAGTCGTTATCCAGTGGTGCATACACAAAGAAAGTGTGTTGTTTAGGAGCTCAAGAAGGCATACTCCTAGTTTAAGTGATTGATAATAATGTCATTATGATAATGGGAACCGCTTTAACGTAACAGCTAGACGCTCAAATGAAGGTCGAGGTTTTCAACCGCAAAGAGTCGGATTTTCTTCTTCAAAAATTACCTTAGTTCCAATTTCGACCCAGCAGAAAATTTGTACCAGGTAAAGTCCTTGGAAGTAAAGGCGTGCGGCACGATGTTGTCCCCATCACCTACCCAGTGCCGTTTATCTACAAGTTTAGAACTATTTACACAATACGCTTAATGGTGTGAAAAAAACAACTTTTTTTATACACATATTTAACATTAATCACTCAAACAAGATATTGAGCGCTCCTCTTCCAGGAATATGTTAGGGAGTTGACATCCCCCCCCCCCTTTCCCACCGCGCTCTTTCCGCTAGTGTTTTCTTTGTGTCGGCGCACATCTGTGCGAAACAACCGAATTGGATCGGAAATAACTAGTGCAGGCTGACCGAATTCTTCTTCTTCTTCACTTCCTCTTTTACCGCTGTGGGTGTCGAGGGAGATATAAGGTTCTGTTTCTAGGCTGACCTAATTAACCAGCAAAACTAAAAGATCTCACCATGTTTTCAGCGCAGCTCAACGGTGCAGAACTGCTAAAAATTCCAGAATGTTTAGTATTTATTGATACAATCAAATACCCAATTGATGTCAACATTACTGAAAGGTCCTACCTGTCTTCATCGTAGCTCATAGACGCAGAATGGCTGAAACTCCAAGAATTATTTGTAGTAAAGTCAAACACCACAAGTTGCTGACCTGTACAAGAGAGTTCAACGGTACACACTTGTCAAAACATAATTCATCATCATCATCAGGTGCCTAGCTGACTGGCGTGGGCGATCATGCCTCTCCATAATCCACGATCTCCTGCAGCATGTATCAGTTCGTGTGACGACACACCTCCATGCCATGCAACAAGACTGTCAAGAATCTTCTCTCGTTGTCTTCCTCTATCCCTCTTTCCACAGTTCTTTCCAGTGGTTACAACATATTCTATTTTCCCTCTTCTCATAGCATGGCCGAAAAATGATGACTGTCTCCTTCTGATGTCTGTGATAATTTGTCTTCGGTCTCCCGCCTTTTTCAAACCTCTTGGTTGCTCTTTTTGGCTGTCCAATGTATTCTAAGCATTCTTCTGTAAAACCACATCTTGGAGGCCTCAAAAAATTGTTTGGTCTGCCTACCGATTGTCCAGGATTCACAGCTATATGTTAAAACTGGATGTATATAGCAAGCAAAGAATTCTTTTTCCAACTCTCAATGACAAGGATATATTGCACAAGATATTCTTCATTTTATAAAATGCAGTTTTTGCCTGTCTTATTCTGTTTCTTATCTCAGTTATGCATCTTCCATCTGATGTTATCCATGTGCCCAGATACTTAAATTTCTGTACTTGTCCTAAAATAACACCATCCACTTTTATAACACATTTATGAATAATTCGTTTCTTTGATACCACCATTACTTCTGTCTTCCCATTATTCAAACTGAGACCCATTCTTCCACTTTCTAACACCACAATGTCTATCATTTCCAGTAGTTCTTTCTTACTTTTTGCTATCAAGACTGTTTCATCAGCATAACGTAAATTGTTTATATTGTGCCCACCAACCACAATTCCGGGCATATCAATTAAAGATCTCATTATATATTCACTGTATAGTGAAAACAAATCAGGTGACAGTACACATCCTTGTGGTACGCCCCTCTTTATGCTTTAAAATGTACCTAAACAGTTGTTAATTCTTATAGCTGCTGTTTGCTGCCAATACATATTCTTTATTATTCGTAAATGCTTAATTTTCTAACAATTTGATTACTTTTTCATGCTTCACACAGTCAAATCCTTTTGTATAGTCTATGAAGCACAAGTACAAATCAGTCTTTACTTCTATAGCTCTTTCTGACAATGACCTTAGGATGTATATGGTATTGTTTGTACCTTTTCCTTCTACAAATCCACATTGTTCATCGCTGATATTTACATAATAACCTGTATATAACTTGTAGACAAACTCCATAACAAGATAAAGGAAAGGTCGCGTGTCCACATCAGGGGTGCCATAACACGAGGGGTCTCAGGCCGCCGAATAGACACGTCATAAAAGTCGACTAATTAGAGATATAGGAGTCGCCGTGGTGTAGAGGCTAGACGCTCGCCTGTGGATCGGAAGGTCGTGTGTTCGGGTCCTGACGAAACCGGACTTTCTTCAAAAATCCCCTTTGGCTCCCAGGTCGACCAAGCCATGAGTAAGTACCAGGGGCAGTCCTGGGAAATAAAGACGGCCTGTGTGATGTTGACTACATCACCCACCAAGCGCCGATTGGTCAATAAAATATACGTCTAGCCCTATATGCCCAATACGACTGTAAACGGGTCCTCTACTTTACTTTTAAATTAGGGGGAAGAAGTAAGAGTGTATCTGACTGAGAGAGGAGGAACCAACAGTCTGCATACAAATAAGCCAGATCTGTAAAACCTATGCGTACTCAAAACTTAAATTCTGAAACAAGAATAAAGTCCAAAAGTAGAGGAACAAATAACATTCTCGCCAGAGTTTACAGCAGGTGAAGGCGAAAGATCAGTCTAATGCATAATTAACATTCTCTAACCAAACTTTCATAACAAACAGCCATTCACTTATGGCTTAATGAATATGATATAATGGTGTATTCAGGTTGAAGGACTGCGTGAATTAACCAAGAACTGACACAGCATCACTTAAGACATTCCCACATGTGCTACATTAATGACTAGTCATCGCCTTGTGGGAAGTAATTTTTCGTTATTTTGAAGTCCCACCCTGTCTTTTGCCAGGGGCCACAATATAGCTTGGCCATAAGTATGGCCTAATGGCTGAACGCGGTTTCCGGAACCTCTCCACAGGTGATCCTCATCCACATGGTGGCACTTTGTTTCATCGGGTGTTTATCGCTTGTGTGATGTCCTGGTGGGTAAAATGTACTACTACTACTACAGGTGCTCTGCCGCATTCCTCAGTAGCCAAGGTAAAGTCCTCATGCCAATACTGGCAGTTGCCAGATACCCCCTGATTACAAATCCACTCATGAGTTTTACCCCAGCCTTAACTATAGTTCAGAACCTCGACTTCAGTTGAATGAGCCTTTAAAGGAATTGATACTTGTTGTACACTTGTGTTGTACACTTTGTTGTACTCTTTGTTGTAGTACACTGTATCTTCAAGAACCAAGTATTTAGGCCTAGGGTGCCTATTCTAGTATTCCGCTGGATATCTCTTTGATGGATGTGCTACAGTGAAGTCCTGCATACTATAACTGACCCATTTGGCCCAGCATCATCTAACACAGTTGTTATCTTTACGAGTCAACAATAACGCTTGTGACAGGCCACATAAACTTTAATGGCATTAAAGTTACACGTCACAAGAGGATGATGATTATTCAATAAAACGTACGATAAGAGAATATAAAAGAATTACACTCTTTTCTCAATGGCCTCATGCCATTATAATAAATAAATAGACATTAAACTGTCTCCTGTAAGTACGGTTAATCAAAACCTCACAAAGAGGAACGTCTGACTCGAACAAGGGAAATATCTTGACTGCCGAATCCTTTGTGTTCTACAGGAGCCTTTGTGTTAATCGCCCAGAATTCAATTAGCTAGTATCCTAGGTAACGACCCGACCCGTGGCCGCTGTGTGAACTTTTCACCTGTCCTGTGACCACTAGAAGAAACTAGAAGAAACTTTAACTCTTGGACAATAAGATTACAACAATACTGTTTCTGAAATGTTGTACTACCCACTTGACCTCAGAGAACCTTTATCACGTCGGTTTTTATCATAAAGTAGACCGCCGTCCAGAGGGGCGACAGCAGCAGGTCTATAAGCCTCTCAATACCCCGCATCCCAGAATCTTGTGGACAGAAAATCCATTCTGTCATCTGGATCAGTTTTACAAAGCAATGCAAGCAACTATGGGCAAAGAAGCCAGTTTCTATTTTCTGTAGCATACTCTGTGAATATTTACAATTTCAGTACTCACCCATAGTGTCGGAAATGTAGGCATATCGGACCCCCGTGACGTCGTCTGGATCCACGTAGTCTAGAACTATGTCGTTGAGGGAATTCTTTGAACCGGACACAACGGAGTCTGGAAACTCGTGGCTGCGAACGATGCTGCCGTTGTTTGTGGTGTCCAGCACAACGATCTTGGCCGGACACAGGTTGGTCGGTGGATCGGTGGCAGACAAGATTCCCACACGCCCTACATCAATAATGTACAAGAAACCAGTCCTGTGAAGGGACCAGAGACTCATTGAAATAAAGTACATAATATACTCTTTCACTTTTAGCAGGGACCTCAACTCCCGAATACAAGGCTGGTCCTTCTTATTTTATCATCTCAGTGATACCAGTGTCGTGGGTTTGTCGTCTCACTTATACCAGGTTGTAGCCCAATGTCGCTGTTTTTTCGTCTCACTGATACCAGGTTGTAGTCCAGTGTCGTAGTTTTGTCGTCTCACTGATACCAGGTTGTAGCCCAGTGTCGTAGTTTTGTCGTCTCACTGATACCAGGCTGTAGCCCAGTGTCGTGGTTTTGTCGTCTCACTGATACCAGACTGTAGCCCAGTGTCGTGGTTTTGTCGTCTCACTGATACCACGTTGTAGCCCAGTGTCGTGGTTTTGTAGCCTCACTGATACTAGATTGTAGCCCAGTGTCGTGGTTTTGTAGCCTCAACGATACCAGGTTGCAGCTCAGTCTCGTGGTTTTGTAGCCTCACTGATACCAGGTTGTAGCCTAGTGTCGTGTTTTTCTGTATTTGTGCGTTTCTCAGGCGCCTCAGGTGGTGGATGTGTTCATTTTTTTTTCAGGTTTCAGCTACACTATTAATGCCTCTCTTTCTTGGTCTTCCTCTCGCCTTCCTCCCAGGTGTTCTGCTGTAAACGGTGTCGTATGCATTTTGGTCTGGCTGCATTCTCAATAGATGGCCGAATCATTACATTCGTCCTCTGTCAAAATAATCCAGACACGGCCTTATTCCAACTCTCTCTCTCTCTCTCTCTCTCTCTCTCTCTCTCTCTCTCTCTCTCTCTCTCTCTCTCTCTCTCTTTCTTTCTCTCTCTCTTTCCCTTTCTCTCCCTCCCTATTTCTCTCTCTCTCTCTTTCTCTCTCCCTCTCTCTCCCTCTCTATTTCTCTCCCTTTCTCTCTCCCTCTCTCTCCCCCTTTCTCTATCTCCCTCTCTCTCCCTCTCTCTCTCCCTTTCTCTCTCTATTTCTCTCTCTGGAGACAGCACATTTCAGATTAATTTTTTTTTTCTAGCACCCTTTTCATTGTCCATGTTTTGCACTGACAGCATAAAGTAGGGTTAAAGATGCTAATAATCATTTGCTGTTTTGCTTGAAGGCAGACACACGGGTGAGATCAGATAGATAGATAGATAGATAGATAGATAGATAGATAGATAGATAGATAGATAGATAGATAGATAGATAGATAGATAGATAGATAGATAGATAGATAGATAGATAGATAGATAGATAGATAGATAGATAGATAGATAGATAGATAGATAGATAGATAGATAGATAGATAGATAGATAGATAGATAGATAGATAGATAGATAGATAGATAGATAGATAGATAGATAGATAGATAGATAGATAGATAGATAGATAGATAGATAGATAGATAGATAGATGATGATAGATAGATAGATAGATAGATAGCTAGATAGATAGATAGATAGATAGATAGATAGATAGCTAGATAGATAGATAGATAGATAGATAGATTAGATAGATAGATAGATAGATAGATAGATAGATAGAATAGATAGATAGATAGATAGATAGATAGATAGATAGATAGATAGATAGATAGATAGATAGATAGATAGATAGATAGATAGATAGATAGATAGATAGATAGATAGATAGATAGATAGATAGATAGATAGATAGATAGATAGATAGATAGATAGATAGATAGATAGTAGCTAGATAGATAGATAGATAGATAGATAGATAGATAGATAGATAGATCCTAGATAGATAGATAGATAGATAGATAGATAGATCGATAGATAGATAGATAGATAGATAGATAGATAGATAGATAGATAGATAGATAGATAGATAGATAGATAGATAGATAGATAGATAGATAGATAGATAGATAGATAGATAGATAGATAGATAGATAGATAGATAGATAGATAGATAGATAGATAGATAGATAGATAGATAGATAGATAGATAGATAGATAGATAGATAGATAGATAGATAGATAGATAGATAGATAGATAGATAGATAGATAGATAGATAGATAGATAGATAGATAGATAGATAGATAGATAGATAGATAGATAGATAGATAGATAGATAGATAGATCGATAGATAGATAGATAGATAGATAGATAGATAGATAGATAGATAGATAGATAGATAGATAGATAGATAGATAGATAGATAGATAGATAGATAGATAGATAGATAGATAGATAGATAGATAGATAGATAGATAGATAGATAGATAGATAGATCGATAGATAGATAGATAGATAGATAGATAGATAGATAGATAGATAGATAGATAGATAGATAGATAGATAGATAGATAGATAGATAGATAGATAGATAGATAGATAGATAGATAGATAGATAGATAGATAGATAGATAGCTAGATAGATAGATAGATAGATAGATAGATAGATAGATCGATAGATAGATAGATAGATAGATAGATAGATAGATAGATAGATAGATAGATAGATAGATAGATAGATAGATAGATAGATAGATAGATAGATAGATAGATAGATAGATAGATAGATAGATAGATAGATAGATAGATAGATAGATAGATAGATAGATAGATAGATAGATAGATAGATAGATAGATAGCTCGATAGATAGATAGATAGATAGATAGAATAGATAGATAGATAGATAGATAGATAGATAGATAGATAGATAGATAGATAGATAGATAGATAGATAGATAGATAGATAGATAGATAGATAGATAGATAGATAGATAGATAGGTGGACGGACGAACAGACAGACAGACAGACAGCTGGATGGATGGATGGATAAACAGACAGATAGGTGGACGGACGAACAGACAGACAGCTGGGTGGATGGATGGATGGATGGATGGATGGATAAACAGATTGGTGTACGGACAGAGAGAAACGGTTTGACATGAACAGACATGCATAGAGAGACTGGTAGGTGGACAAAGAAAAACAGGACACTGAGCTCAATCTGCCGCATCATGTCAGCGTACATACCTGGGATCTATAGCCATACTCATTGGAAGTTGAAGCGCACTGCAGTTTCCAAGTTTGTTGAACTCCCAATTCGGATACGGTACCAAGACACCTTTTTGGTTTTCCTCGTCTGTCAGATAAACCGTGTTCAACCCGGCGGGAACGCCATCTTTAGACCGAAGCCGCGGCACTGTTACGAAAAGTGTGTTGTAGTCTCCTATTTGTAAGGCTGATAGTTGACACACCTCTGGATCGTACTCTCCGCTAGCGATAAAATCAGCCTTGACAGTTTCATTTGGCCAAAGCCAGTCCAGAATAACAGATCCGTAAATGAGTTCGCACGTCGCACGGTTCACGATTGTAATTATTGCCAACACAAGCAGATATAGAGGTTTCATTATGACTTTCTGTTTTCCTTTAAAGTCTGAAAACACACAAGCATGCTCAGTTTGTAAGCGCATAACTGCTGCCACCTGTGCGGGCGTGTGTTGGGGGGGGGGGGGGGGTTGGAAAAGGGACGTGTGTGCGGGCATGTGTGCAGAGCCATGCAGTAGATTTTCTTAGTATGATGCGAGTCTTCGAAATGCCGCCTCCTATATGTTTTTCATTTTCTTAAAAATTACCTTTGACTGTGATTTATGTTATAAACTGCACAAAATGTACGAATACTTTTTGTATTTTGAAAATATAAACTACTTGAAAAAAAATGATATCAGCTGTCAGCTACAACAATCTACTACATATCTACCCTCCTCGCATTAACTTCAGCAAACTCGCTAATTAGGGATGTTTAGTCAAGTGCCCTAAGTGACGTAGGTCAAGTGCATCTTGTGTATGTGAGTATGTGTTGTGTCGATGTGTGTGTTGTCAGTGTGTGCACCTCTGAGTATGTAAGTGTGTTTGTGTATATATGTGTGTTTGAGTCTGGTCTACTTCATCTCTTGTTTTTCTGCCCCGTGTGTGTGCGCGCGCGCGTGTGTGTGTGCGCGCGCGCGTGTGTGTGTTGTGTGTGTTTATCTGAAGTTATGCTTTTTAGGATGGGTCGCCCATCAATGTGCTTTTCAGGGTTAATAGTAACACATTAAAAAATAATAATAGTAAAACTTTACAGAACTCCCTACATCTAATTATTCTAACCAACTAGTTTACGTCTTTCAACTGTATCGAGGGAGACCGCCTTATTGTTTTTCTATCATTGTTTCATAAATGCAGAGCATTCACCACGAAGTTTTATGGAGGATTGATACATTATCACCTTACAAGTTTATAACAATCATCGTCATTGTTGTCGTTGTCATTAGCATCATCGTCATCAGCAACCTCCTCATCCCCATCAGAATCTGCAACATCGTCATTATAGTCATCATTAAATGTACTTAAGATTTTAGCTTTATGAAATATGTTATTTTAGATATAAGTCCACAAAAGCGCAATAGCATTGAGATAAACATTTGCAAGATAAGCATTTATAAAAAATTTAGCCTTACCGTTGTGAAAGATTACACCTGTCACCTCTCATTTAGAAATGTCAAATGTGTGTAGAAACTGGGAGACTATATCTCTTCAAAGTGGATTTTTTTTTCTGCTGATAAAATTGGATGGCTACTTCTAATATAAATGACAATTCTAAATTTCTCGAAATGTACGGAAACTCGAAATTTAATTTAACAGGTGTTGGCGAAAGAGGCATAGTGACATAAAAAGATGGATGCGGCAATTCTCTTTCAGTGGTCCTTGTCGACGGCTAACCTGTTTGGACGCCTAATGATAAATGGAATGAAGACGTAAATACATATTTTTGGTAAATAGGTACATGACTTACGGTCATTATGGCAGATATGCAAGTTTACTGCTAGCTTTTGCTTCTGACAATAGCTAGCGGTTGCATTGTCTTTCATACATAGACTAAAAGGATAAAGTTACGTCGCCAAGCTACTAAACTGAGTACATGATGCGACACGATGAGATGTAGATTTCAGTTGTGCTCTTCGATTATGCCCTCCGTGTTTGCGTTTTGAAGTGCAGATTCAGGATATGGCGAGTTGTCAATTGCTAGATAACTGGGTGCGCCTTATGCAATTAAGTGCGTATACAACTACTGGTCTGTTGTAACTGCTCCTTCCTTCAACGAGGGACTGCATTTCTCTTACCAGACTGTTTGTGCTGGCATTTCTGATAGCTGTCTTATGCATTTATTGCACGTGTATGCTGCTATTGGCTTCACTGAGACTGCAGTCTGTGTCAGGTTTTTTTTTCCTACAAGGGACAATGATGGACCTTCTGTGTGTTTCCCCTGGCACAGGCACGCACAGACTATAGGGTGACTTGTCTGCCATGGAGCTGGACGAAGTGGTTAAGCCGTTTTCCTCGCACTCTAAAGATCTTGAGTTCATTTCACGGCTGCGTTATTCAGTTAACGAGAGCAATTTATACGGAGATCCCTGGGGATCGTCGCCGGAGCTACGAGTTCGTGCTCTGTGTGTTGCTATCGGCAGACGGCTAGCCGTTCTGCGGAACGAACGAACGAACAGAGGATGCGGAGACAGACCAAGCTATATGGGATGAAAACCGGTGAAATGACGCCAATCCTTTCGTCTGTACATTAAACTTTCACTTTGGAACTGAGTTTACCTGAATACGTCTTTGTTGACCGTAATGTATGCACATAGATTGCCCTATAGCGACTTGAATTTTAAAGCTTGATTTTTTTATTTCTCCATCTTCTTCTGTACTAGACCGGAGAAGCTCTTAGTGACAAGAAAAAAAAATTAAGAAAAAGAGTTCGTTTAGGTGGGGGAGAGATCAGAATATCTCACCCAGGCAAGAAATCTTCGGTGCAAAGTCTAGATAGGCAAATAACAAATAAAATAAACTAAAGACACTAACTACAAGTCCTAAGCTGAAGGAAACAACTGTAACTATGAATACAACGTTGAACAATATGTTTATTTAACATTACATCAGCGTGGCCAACAAATGACGACATTAACGACAACTACGTGCTCGGTCAGAATCTCAAATATATAGCGATCTACCATCTAACTATCTCTTAGCAAGAATACAAATGAAAGTCTATTTTAACCAACTGAACGTACCATCGCCTGCAATCTGTCAGACCACAAACTTTCCACACGATCCCCATACCTGTCGACTAGCCCATTTTCAAAGCACAGTCGCTAGGTAGGTTAAGTGGGTCCGCCCGGAAGTCAAATAGGTCCTGCGATGCCAATGCCAGTTGTCCAAGAAAAATTCCAAACTTGATCCTCTTTCAGCCGCCCGGGGGCCTGCTATATCGAAGAAGGGTCCTTTGCTGTCTTATATGGTTTCCTTTTATTTGTGGTGTGTAGTCACACCTGATATTAGGGTTGTTTGCTTCCTTGCTGTGCTGCGTTGTTTGCGGTTTTAGGTTCTGGTGTGATCCAGATCACTTTGCGATGATATTGACGGGTACTAGCTGATTGTTGCTGGTGCTTGGCTTGCCTCGTGCTGGTCGCTGTGCTGGTGCCCTGTTGCTGCTTGGTTGCCGATCTAAAAGCCGCCAGAAAAAGCTAAACAAAGATCCGTTGCGCCGTCGATACGAACAATGTTCCTTTTCAGGACAAACAGGGCCGTCACAATCTGTTGTTGTGATCGGCCCGGGGGGGGGGGGGGGGGTTTTCCCCCCACGGAGTGTGGAGAAGTAGTGGAGGTAAAATAGACTGCAAATGAGAGGTCAGTTTGCCCGAATGTGCCAGTAGATGTGATAGTAAGGTCGGGAGAATGAGAGTGACAGATAGAGGCAGGATCCATCCTGGTCGGCTGAGGTCACTTGGTCTGAAATAAAAGTGAAAGGCAATTGTTAACATACATGTGGGGTGGGGTGGGGTGGCATGACGGTGACTGGAATTCCAAAGTGCTGGTCCCCTTAGGTGCAATGCCCTCGGCTGTCTGCGTCGGAGCCTCGGGTGGCCTGCGGTATTTTCCGTTGTCTTCATTTTTCTGAAAATAAACTAGATTAAGATTATGGTTAGTTCAATGGTGATTACGTAGTTATTTGCCAGTGGGGCGGAGTGGGTGGGAGTGGCTCCGGTACGTCGACCCGCTGTCCGGTCGGCGGTTGTTTGTTTTGGGCTGTCCGTAAAGATGGCGGCTTGTTTGGCGGGCTCTTTCTGTGGCTCTTTAGAATTGGCGGTTGCCTCTTCTATTCGGTGTGCCATTTTTGCCCTGCTTTTTCTTTGACTCCCGGAGCTGTTTCGCTGCTGCGTTAATCTCTTTGCAGAGTCGGTCAACATTCTGGTACCTTAAGATTCGTTCGGGTGTTCCGTCTTCTTCTGCAAAGTCGATAATGTATTTGTCGAATGCGCTGACATACTCCAGCCTGTGCGGAGCCACCTGCTCGTTGATATCTTCTAGCATCGCTTGGAGGTCAGCATCACAAGTTACAACGGCTGTCGCATTCTGGTTTACGCGTGGGGTGGCTGGCTGCCTGGTAGGTGTTTCGCTTCGTTCTTCGATTGTCGTGTCATCTGTCATCTGTGCCTGGTGTTGCATCATTACCGTTTCGGTAACTGTGCTTTTGTCGGCTTTGTTGATAATTGGTTGCTTTACAGTTTTCCTGTAAGCCTCCCTTTCTTTCTTTAGCAGGGCACGCTCCGTTCTTGCCGCCAGCACTGCAGCTTCGGCTTCTGCCTTTGCTTGGATCATGAGGGCGACTTCTTTATACGTGCTTTCTCGGGCTTCCTTAAGTGCCTCGGTTTCCTTTCTTCTCTCCTCCCTTTCTTCTTGTCGGCGGGTCTCGTCTGCAGCTTTTTCTGCTTGTAATGTTAGTGTCATTTCTGTTAGATTTTTCTGCATTTGTGCAGCCTCTGCTAGCCATTTTGTTTGCTGCGATACTTGTTCTTGTCTGTCGTCTTTCAATGCTTTGATTTCGTCACGCATCTGCGAAATCAGGTCTAACAACTGGGTTCTGTCAGCGTTGGCATCGGTAGCGTCAGATTTTTCTTTGCGGAGAGCTCTGATTTCAGCTAAAATTTCAGGAATTTGTAGCGAGATTTCAGGGTCCATTGCGGTTGTGTTCGCCTTGTCGGTTAGTCTGTCTGGTGTCCGCTGTGCTGGCTTCCCACTTGGTTGCTTTGGTGCTGCTGAGGACCTGGGTGCCACGTATCTCTGTCTAGCTGCTTCGTGGGCGGTTCTAAGTGTCCTCTTGCACTGCTGGAGATACGGGCAGCCCATGTATCTCGCGCCGTGCGCACCAGAAAAGCTAGAGCACTTGCGGTTGCTGTTCGGTTTTTTAAAATTAGTGTCCATTTTAGCCAGCGGGCACTCCTTGAATTCGTGCGCACCAGAACAGTATCTGCACGAAAGGCTGCTGCGGCAGGACGAAGCTGTATGCCACGCCCTATTGCAGCGCGAGCACTGC